ATATGCAGAGCACAGACCTGGGCAACAAGGAGAGCGGCAAGATATGGCACCGCAAGCCCTCCCCGGCCGCTCGGGACGGGTAAAGGCCGCGGCGGGAGGAGAAGGGGTGGACGCCGGCGAGGGGCGGGTCCGCGTCTTTGGAGACGCGTTTAGGGGCTGTTGTGGAGGGTCCCGGGAAGGGGTGCGAGGGGTTGGATGGAGATTCAGTCTCTGGCTCTGATCCTACCCCGGCTCTCTGGGTTGGGTGACCTCCGGAAACTTAGGGAACCTGAGTCTCCGTATGCCCGACAGCAGGATCCTGAGACCCCTTTCCCAGTTCTGGGGGCAGAGGTCTTGTTAGGATCAGCATGGAGTGGGAGATCTTGATTTATGCCAGGGAATTTGCGCTTTTGCTGAGTGCCAGGACTGCCTGCCTTAATTATCACGGTATCCCTGTAGTATTCCTGGCACGCAGGAGAAGCTTGTGTTTGTTAATTATTCCAGCTGGGAAAGAACTCTAGCGGAGGAACCGATGCGGAGCGGGAGGGGGAGAACAGTACACTTCCCCCCTTCCAGAAGCCTTAGTTTATCCATCCTTGAATCACTGCATGTATTCAGGCAAGCATTCATTGGCTATTTGATGAGCACCTACTGTGTGCCATGCTTCTAAGCGCTGGCAGACAGCTGTGGAACAAAACAAGCTTCTGGTTCTGATTCTGGTTCTGGAGTTTACGTATTAATGTTTGTGATGGTGGTAGTGGTGGGGGAAGGGATTACATTTTACAACATAGGGCGGCCTCCTAGTAAGGCCGGCAATGCTGCTGCTTTTTTTTTTTTTAATAGACTTTATTTCCTTAGGACACTTTTAGGTTCACAGAAGAATTGAGAGAATGCTACAGAGATTTCCCGTATACCCCCTGCCCCCCACCCCATTGTTGCAATTGATGAACCTACATTGACACATACTTATAACCCGAAGTCCACAGTTCACTTTAGGATTCACTCTTGGTGTTCTACCTTCTGTAGGTTTGGACAAACATATACTGACATATATACACTTTTAAGTCGCATGCAAAGTATTTTCACTGCCCTAAAAATTGTTTGTGCTTTGCCTCTTCACCTCTCCCTCCCCAGCTCTTCTTTTCCTTCTGTTCTCATCTGTGCTGTTTGAGGCTCCTGTGTGACTTTAGTGGATGCCTTTGTCCCCTAGTGGTGCCATCTTGGTGCCAGTTGCTGCACACAGATTAATCTTATTGCCTCTAATTCCTTAGGATTTCATGGACTTTGCTGCATCACTTGAGTTCATATTGCAGTGTGCTGCTTGTTCTAGTAATTTTTCTGTTGATCCTTTGGTTGCTTTCTCAATAAATCAATAGACTTTGGGTGCCAACTGCACGTGCCCAAAGCACGGTGCTGCACAATGTACTATCAGCTCTTTTGTTTCTGATTGCCAGCAGTCCCTTAACTATTCTCTCCCATCAGCTCCAGTGAATAACAGTTTTATCTAGGGTAGAGATGTTCATTTCCAAATTTGGAGTTTGTGTAATTACCACCCCTACTTCTGATGTTCTCTAAATGTTCTAAAAGTTATGCCAACCCACAGTAATTCTTTCTTGCTGTTATAAAATATCTAGATACACATGCAAGGTTCAAAAAATGAAAGAAAAGAGTTTGTCTGCAAATATCTTTGTTTCTTCCACTAAAGCATAGCTTTCTTTTTGTTCACTGAAATCCACCGTTATGGTGTTGAGAAAGGCAAGGAGCATTGCTTGTGGAGTCAAGTGGACTTCAGTTGAAGTAAATGTTCATTTACTAGCTCAGTGACCTTGGGCATGTCAAATCTCTTAGGCTGTACATGAAGGTAATGATACCTAACAGACAAGGTTATCTTAGGTAATTATGAAGACTTTAAAAGTCTCATGCATCTTGGTGTTCAGTAAATATTTGATGTTTTTACTATGTTTAAGGACTAAGGAACTCAGGCAAACTGAGCAATTACAGGCAGTTCTAAAATAAGTAATTGTGCAGGTGATTAATATGAGAAATCAGAAAGACAGATTTTTTATATCAAGATGGTAGAGTTATAATCAGATTGATTTGTTAGTGTTTTTCTATATTTCCCATATTTTGAACAATGATCATGTAATTTTGTAAACCACGTACAATTAATGTTATTCAAAAAAGACTGGAGGGAAAAGTCGTATGCTTGGTCTGAGTTTAATTGCCAGGGAACATTTTGATGTTATTATCAGATTCAATACATTTATTTCCCCTCTTTCCCCTTTGGGGATGTGAAAGAAAAACCAGAGCTGGACAGTGGTTAAAGTTGTGAAAACAGACTATTTAGAACTATTGCAGTAGAGGAAAAGAGCGTGGAACTGGGCTCAATTCAGAACACAAGCCTGGGCAAGTGGGAAGTTATAGCCAAGGAGCAGGTGGGGTGGGGGTCAGTGGATGGAAAATTGGTAAGAGAAAATATCTGGGACAAGGAAGTTCTGGCTAAATCAGCCTCACAGGATTCTTGCTGAAGACAGGCCAGGGTGATCGGACATCCCTTGGGAGATGGTGGAGGATGAGGAACCCGATTAGAGGTCAAGGATGATGGTACTGAGGGTAGGGGGTTCTGATTAAACTGACTGAGCAGCATTCTTGTTAAAATTAGATTTTGCATTTTACAAGGAAGTGCACAGATGGGCCTAGGAGAAGGTTTGGGAGCCTGACTAAAATATGATGAAGCCAAGAATCTTTGTCAAGGACTAGATAAAAATAATTTTGCTCTTTGACCCAATGAGTCTGAAAAGCCTTATTTTTAGATTAAACTGGAAAAAAAAAGTTTGATATACTTAATTCAGTTCAGTATTTTTTAAATGAAGTGATAACGAGGAAGATGTTTCTGTTAAAATTCAACTTCATAAAGTCAATTAAGATAAAAAATTTCATGATTTGAAAATTTGCTGCAGTAGAGAATGGGATTATTCTGGCCTTCATGACCCACATATACACACATACGTTATTTTAAAGAGTTAGTTAATTTGTGCTGCAAGTTTTGTAAGTTTCCTTCTCAGCAAATATATAGTACATGATCTTCCTCTCAAAAAATAATACCTTTAGACAAATATACCTGAAAATAAAACTCATGTATACTTGGAATACTCTGCAATCACAAAAGCAGAATCTCTTTAGGATGTCTTAAAATTGGGTATTGAATTGAAGTTTTTCTAATGTAGGGTAGTTTGTGATTTATGTGAAACTCACTACTTTTCACTAATTCTTTATTTTTATCACGTGTCTGTTACATAGTGTAACAATTCAACTAAATCAGAAATACCTTTCCTTTTCATATCCTGTTGTTGTCCATACTTAATCACAGTTTATGAATCTGTTCATGTGTGTGTTTATTTTTTTTAGTGTCTGTCTCTACTATTAAACTGAAAGCTTCGTGAGGGCAGGGCCTCTGTCTGTCAACTGCTCTTGGTTCCTGGCTTGTTCAGTGTCTGATGCGTAGTGAGTTGTCAGGTTTTTGATGAATAAATGAACAGTAGCTACTTTGATAATAACTTCCTGGACTGTTTTCAGAAATCACTGTAGGGGTAATGTAAACTATGGCCTGTGGTTGATGATAATGTGCCCATGTTGGTTCATCGATTGTACCAAATATGCTACACTGATGAGGGATATTGAGGGTAGGGGAATATATATGTGTGGGTGGGGAGGGCTACACGCGAACTCTCTGTATTTGCTGCTCAATTCTGTTGTTAACCTGAAACTGCTCTAAAAGAATAAAGTCTCTTAAAAACATAGAATTGCTTCTAGGAGAGAAGGAGCAGCAGCAGTAGGAGAGGGAAAGATGGGTAGGGAAAAAACTTCAAAATTAGTGAGATGTACTATACAATTAAAAGCCATATTTTTCATAATAACAAGTAATGCTTGACCTAGAGTTGAATGTTTTTTGTTTTTCTTGACAGAATTATAGTGAACATCGTTCACAACACTTCTGATTACCTTCCCAAAGTTTTGCGATTTTTGAATGTGGCTTTTGATAGCACGGGTGACTGTTTAATTGCCGGGGACCATCAAGGAAATATCTATGTTTTTGACTTGTCTGGAAACAGGTGAGCAGATGCTTTTGATATTTACCAAGTGATTAATTCCCTGGCTATTTTAGTACTTGCTATTCATTCAGAAAGACTTATTAAGTTCTTACTATTTGTCATAAGTGCTGATGGAAGAAAGTGGGAAAGGATAGAAAGATAGTATGGTTGGGTTTTTTTAAGAGAGTTAAAGTTCTGGCTTTAACAGCATCTCTAGTAATTTGTTTCTTCTTAAATGTAAAAATTCATTATTGCTAATTTATCAGTTAATGTCTGGTACTTGTTTGGAAAGAACACAGCTTTCTTGGTACACTACTGTCAGAGTGTACCAGATCGAGGAGTTTTAAAGAATTGACCTTCTTCTCCCTCTTCCTTTGCTGAACACTATAGAGCAAAAGCAGTTAGGTGCGTTGATCAAGGTGGGCATCTGTGCGGAGGGGGTGGGTGGGAGGGAAAACTGTCGGCCCCACCAGAGAGTCAGAAGGTGTCTGTGTGGGGGTGGGGCCATCATGGGAAAAACAGGGGGCTTTGATCAAATGAGTAAATATATTGAGGAAAATGGGGGTCAGGTTCTTAACTACTGGAAAGGGGAGTTATAAATATGGAAAGAAAGAAAACTAGACTGAATCCCATGGTACTGGATTGGAATTGGAATTGGTTATATCAGTGTGAACTCCTGGTTTTGAACATAGGTAGACAGACACAGAAGTAAGCTCCCCATGAGGGAGTGCAGGAGTTTTATGTACATGTATTTCCTAACTTGGTTGACTCATAGGACCCAGGAGCAGTAACACCCCAGTAACAATGAATATTCCCAGGGCCCAGTTCTTGACTAAATATTACTCTGCTAAGAGGAATCCTTGCAGAAACAGCCAGTTTCAGGAGGGATTCAGAGAAAGTACGAGAAGAACCTGGAACATTCTGTGGCCAGAAAGAAGGAATTGTTCAAAGAACGATGGGGCTGTGTCACAAGGACGTAAATGTCAGCTTGAAGGAGCTCTCTCTGGGCAGGCTGGAGACAATCTGAGTTTCAAAATAAATAATGATCGCGAAGGATCATAACCCACTGAATAAAATAGAAATCCGTGAATTCATGCTACAATCAACAAACAGTTCAATGAGAATGGATATTTGCATAGTCACAAAGTACCTCTCCACAAAAGACTCAATCATCAGAGAGGAATAAAAGAGTAATTTTACAGTGACGAAGCCTGGCAGACACTACCGTGTGGAATGATTAAAGTTAAATTTACCAGTTGTGGGACAAATAAAAATGTGTGTGCCACCTGATGGGGGTGTGGTGTTAAGAACGCAGCATCACTGCTGTGATATTCCTGCCCAAGACGTCCCCTGAGTCTAATGGGCGGAGTGAGCAGGCAGAGCTCAATTAAAGGTGTTGTATAACGAGACTGGCCTGTAACCGTCACGAGGGTCAGGGTCATGAAAGTTGTGAAAAGGCTGAAGAGCTATTGCAGACGGAGGGAGCCTAGACACAGGACAAGTCCAGGCTTGGATCTGGACTGATCCCTTTGCTGTAAAGGACATTATTGGGACACTGGGCAAAACCGGGGTCTGTGGATTAGATGGTGGTAATATGTAAGTGTAGTTTTCTGATTTTGATGGTTGTATTCTGATTATATGGGGAGAGTGATCTCAGTAACTTATTCTCAAATAGTTCAGGAAAAATCAAGGTCATACATGATTCATTTATTAGGTAGAAATCTGTTCTTCAGTGTTTCTACTCTTTACCAAAAAAATAATATGGTCATTATTCTCCCACCCTTTGCTCTTGCGTAACCTACCCAGCTAATTCCTAATCTACATCAGTACACCTGTCTCTTCTTTGCTCCCACTGCCAAACAAAATTAAAATTATTGTTGATTGTCTCTGTTACAGAGCAATGGGCTTCAGCGTCATTGGTGCTAGGACTTCATTCGCTCATCTGCTGTCATTTACTTTTGCCCTTCTTCTCTGAGTAATCCCAACCTTTACCAGTTTCCTTGACTCCTTATTCTGACTGCCTGGCCTCCTAATTCATGAGAAAACAGACACCCTCAAGCTTCTCTTCCTTTTCCCCCACCACAGCCTCAGATACATGTGTAACTTCACCTAGCCGTGACTCTTCGCCACTTTATTCAGAAAAATAGGTGAGCCTAATTTCTGCCAGTGCTAATCTCTGTCTTCTGGAGCCGCCCTTGGGACTTTCCACCGTGCGTGTCCCTCTCTTTTATTCTGTCCACTGTCCCTTTTCTGTCTACAAATAGTCACATCTGAGCAGGGGAGTGAGTGTCAGAGCTGTGACTTGAAACCAGGCCTGTCAGATTCTAAAGCCCCTACAGAGCGTTCCCGCAGAATCACCCTAATTGCCTAATCCCATGGTTTCTTTTCAGTTCTCATTTTACTAAAATACTCATGTCTTCCCTCCTTTCTGAGTTTTTTTTTTGTTGTTTGTTTTTTGTTTTGCTTTTGCTTTGAGGTACAACTCTTTCCTGATTTTCCACCTCTCTGATCATTTTTTCCTTCTTTGCTGACTCTTCTTGCATGTCTCCCCTTCATTGATGTGTTCTTCAGGCATCTGTCCCTGGCCTGCTCCTCCCATGTGCCAGGTGTTCTCGTTAATAATCTCATCACCACCAAGCCTGAGGCTCCAGCTGCCACGTAACACTGTTCACTCAGATCTGTTCCTGCCACCCATGGGTAGCTTCGAGAGTGGGCTGTCTGATGCGGTACACCAACCAGCTGCATGCAGCTCTTAGGCCCTTGAGGAGCGGGCAGTTAGTCCAAATTGAGATGTGCGGTTAGGGTACAATACACACTGGGTTTTGAAGACTTACTCTGAAAAAAAAAAAGAATAAAATATCTCTAATATATTGATTAAATGTTGAAATGATAACATTTTAGATACACAATGAATGAAGTTAAATATGTTAAGATTAATTTTATCTATTTCTTTTTCCTTTTTTTAATGTGGCTTCTAGAAAATTGTAAATTACACATGTGCCCTGCATAACATTTCTTTTAAACAGCATGGCTCCAAATGCTTTTCAGGTGCCTTAAACTCTGCATGTTTAAAACCAGAATTATTATCTCCTACCCCTACACTGGTTCCTCTATTGATTAAGCTTGAAAACTTAATTTTTTGTAAATTAAACTCTAACCATGTGCCAAGTACTCTGCTAAGCACTAAACACACAATATTTTATTTAATCATCATGTATTATTTTGCTTAAGCATCATGACGGCCTTATGGGACATCTTTCTTACCTTCACTTCGCAGGTGAGGAATTCTGGATTCCTCCCTCATCACCCCATGTTCGGTGCATCACCGAGCCTTTCTCCACTTGACGTCTGACACTGCTCCTTGTTTGTTCTGTCCATTCATACCCGTAATGCTGGTTGAGATTTTCTGTAGTAGCTTTCTTCCTCATCTCTTCCTCCTTGTCCCTCTATCCATTTGCTGTTGCTGCCAGAATCATCTTCCTAAAAGACATACCTGATCATGATTCTGCTGTGCTCAAAAAATTCTTGGTGTCTTCCTGATCTGTGTAAGTAAGATCCAAACTCCTGTAATGGCATGTGGCACTCTTTGTAATCTGCTTTTGTCCTGCCAGAATGAAATCTCATTTTTGTGGGTCTCATTTTCGTCACGTCTAAGGACTCCTCCAACATGAAATTTATGGTTATTGGGAGAATTTCTGATACTAATGCAGTTATCTCTTACTAGGTTTAACCTTGTTCAGCGAACAGCGCAAGCTTGCACAGCTCTGGCCTTTAATCTCTGCAGGAAGTCTGAATTCCTTGTGGCATTAGCTGATTATTCTATTAAATGTTTCGATACAGGTAAGAAGTCCTGTTTGTTTTCTGAAGCAGAGTGAAATGTAGACTGGTGCCCTGAAGGGAGTTGGCTAATCTGTACAATCTGAGGGAGCAGACCCCACGAGGCAATCCTCACTTCAGACACCAACTACAAGTTTGGGGGTTCCAGGGCCATCGTGACGTCAGATCAGCTGGCTACAAATTCAGGGTTCTCCACAACTACCTTCAGGCTTGATAATTCAGTAGAATGACTCACAGGATTCAGGGATGCACTATGGTTATGATTATAGTTTTTATTTGTTTATTTTTAATGGAGGTACTGGAAATTGAACCCAGGACCTCATGCCATGCTAAACATGTGCTCTAACACTGAGCTATACCCACCTCCCCATGACTGTAGTTTTAATGTAGTGAAAGGATACGAATTAAAAACTAAAGGAAGAGACGCAGAGGGAGGCTCCCAAAAGAGAAGCTTCCATTGTCCCCTGGGAGACACGTTACCCTCCCAGCATCAGTGTGTGGCCGACTGCACTGAGTATTGCCAAACAAGGAAATTCCCCTAAGCTTGGACATCCAGAGTTCTTATTGAGGCTGCATGACATTGGCGTGATTGGATTATCGCCCACTTTGTTGAACTCAGTTTCCAGCCCTCCTTTCTGGAGGTTGGGCTGATACCACGTGGCCTAAAGCCCCAGCCTTCTAATCACTCACATGGTTAGTCTTTCTGGTGAGGCCAGTTTCCACTCTGAGGTTTTCTCCTTAGCATAAACCATCTGCTGTTGTCCAGGGACCCACCATGAGTAACAGAGACATTCCTATGCTGGGGAGGTTCCAGGGGTTTAGAGGTTGCCTCCTTGGAGCCTGGACAAAGGCCATCTCTCTCTTTGAAGGCCAAATACCTTACTCTACAGGTACAAGAACAAACCCATTTTTAATGTAACCCATGAATTTTATAGCACATCATATTTTTTAAAAGAGAACTTAAGAGTTCTGCAAACTGAACTTCTTATTCAGAAAAAAAACTCAACTGCATTGTTGTTTCTTGTTATTTATGTAACTAATACGTTGTACTTAGAAAGATAAGACTAGTAATGTAGTGATAGTTAACACTTACATATTGTTTACTCCTTGCCAGGTACTGTTCTATGACTTTATATATATTAATTAATTTTAATCATAATAACTCAGAGATGGATACTGTTATTATGCCCATTTGCAGATGAGGAAACTGAGGCACAGAAGTAACTTGACCAAGGTCCCCCAGCTTGGTAAGCAGTGGAGCCAGGATCCCTAACCTGGTGGTCTAGCTGCAGGGTCCCCACTCTTAAACACCGCTACCCTCTCATGCAGGAACAAAACGCAGTCATCCTCCAGTAACGTGCAGGGACGCGGTGTTTTTATAACAGGGACCAATCTTTCCAGTCTATTCTCTATGTGTATAACTTTTTATATCCTAAAAAAAACTATGATTATCTTATCTATATTGTTTAGTGGGATCATTTTCTTATCTCATTAAACATTCATATATTTAAAATCAGTACCTAATAATTCTACTCTATAGGTTTTTTAGTACCATTATTATTATTATTTTTATTGAAGCACAGTTTACAATGTATCAGTTTCTGGTGTACAGCATAATGTTTCAGTCATACTTAGACATACATGTATTCCTTTTCATATGCTTTTTCATTGTAGGCTACTACAAGATATTGAATATAGTCCCTGTGCTATATAGCAGAAACTTGTTGTTTATCTATTTTATACATAGTAGTAAGTATCTGCAAATCTCGAACTCCCAATTTATCCCTTCCCACCCCTTTCCCCTTTGGTAACCATATGTTTGTTTTCTAGGTCTGTGAGTCTGTTTCTGTTTTGTAAATAAGTTCATTTGTGTCATTTTTTTTTTAGATTCCACATATGAGTGATATCATATGGTGTTTTTCTTTCTCTTTCTGGCTTACTTCACTTAGAATGACAATTTCCAGGTCCATCCATATTGTTGCAAATGGCATTCTTTTATTCTTTTTATGGCTGAGTAGTATTCCATTGTATAAATACCCTCAGCTTCTTTATCCAGTCATCTGTTGATGGCCATTTAAGTTGTTTGTGTGTCTTGGCTATTGTAAATAGTGCCAAGTACCAAAATTATTTAACCTATTACCTATTGATGGACTTTATTATTTCTTAAAATTTTATAATTTATTATATAAATACTGGCAGTACTGGGGATTGAACCTAGGACCTTATGCATGCAAAGCATGTGCTCTACCACTGAGCTATATGCCTCCCCTCTATTGATGGCCTTTAAACTGTTTCTAATTTTTGGTATTGCAAACACTGCTGTCACAGATATTCTGAAAAGCAAAGCCTTTAAACTCACCTCTGATTGCTCTCCTTGGATTCCAGCCATTCTCTTCTCTCGTCTTACTTCCCTCTTTTTTTATAGTCTCCTCTCTCTTATGGAAACCCCTGTTAGTGAAGCCCCTTCCTTAGGTGTTATCTCAGCCTCCCCAGAGACCTCCCTCTTTCTTCACTGCCAAATCCTGCTTCTTCACGGCACCCCTCAATGGATTCTGATTCTTGCTCCCCTAACTCCATGCTCCCAAGACTTCTAGCTCCAAGGTCTTTAGTAACTTCTTTTTTTTTTTTTTTTTTTAACATTAGTAACTTCTGATTGTGTAAATCCTCTTGACGCTTTTCATTTTCTTTCTCTGTAGCTTTTAACGCTTTGGATTATTTCAGAGTCTTAGTTTTCTACTGTTCTCTCTGGGTTCTGCTGTTCTGACTGCTTCTTAGTTGTCTCTTTTCTGGCTTCTTTTGGTGGTCCCTAGACTTTTGAATATTTGACCCAACTAAAAAGAAAAAGTAGAGGAACCCACCTAGGATGTCAACTTTTAATTTTGTTAATTGACATCAGAAAAAAACAATATAACTTAATTTCATAAAATAAGGAATTTTTAAAAAACATAAACCGAGAAGTCTATAATAGGTTAAAAGGTAGTACTTTAAATTTAGCTTTATGAAAAACTCATTACATTATCCTTATTTTTCTCATTTCACTGAAGGACAATGAAAAATTGATGATTAAGTAATGCCAGACTTCAGACTAATGTTTGGAAACCACTCCTCCCTTCCTAAGAGTTTATCTGTTCCTCTGTCTTCAGTTTTGACCTACTTTGCATCTTAACGTTTCCAGGTTTACATCTTGCTTTCTGACTGTTCTCAGTTCCACCTTCTGGAGGAAAAAAAATCTGATCATAAAAGTAAAATAAGCCTATCATAGCCTGGAAACACAGAAAAATGTAAAGAGAAAATAAAAATCAAATATAATTTTACTAGCCATTAGTAATTATCATGAAGAGTTTTTGATATTTTCTTTACCAGACTGTTTTCTCCGTTTGTATCACACACACACACACACAAGTCTGTAGCAGAACCTGCTCCTGCTCGTGTCCCTGGACTGGGGCCGCTGGGGTCTCAGCTCCTCCTTTGTCTCAGCACACCTATTTGATCTCTGAGTCCTTTGATTTTTCCCTTGCAGCCCTCGAATGTGTTCCTTTCTCCATTGCTACATTCTGAGGATAGACCTTCCTTACCTCCTGCCTGGATTATTACGGCACCAGATAAACTAGTCGTCTTGTAATCTCCTCCTCCTTTCTGGTATATCCACCATATCTTCAAAGTGCGCTTTCTGAAACAGACCAGATATGTTACTCTTCCACATCAATCTGTTACAAGGGAAAGCCCAAGCGCCACAGCGTCACATTTAAGGCTGTTCTTAAACCCTCTTACAGCCTCATCTCATACCTCCATGATACACATTAGTAGCACGTCCTGTGATGTGTTTTATCAACTAGCCCCAGGCTTCCATTTTTTCAGATGTTACTGGAGATGGGGGTCCTTTATATGATACCAGGCCATCAACTGAATCAGTTCTCAGCTGAAATATGGTGTTTTAGCTTCGTTACTATTTCACGTCTTTCCACAGTCACCAAGGAGCTGGTTAGCTGGATGAGGGGGCACGAATCGTCGGTATTTTCAATCTCCGTGCATGCATCTGGGAAATATGCCATCACTACTTCTTCTGACACAGCACAGCTGTGGGACTTGGACACCTTCCAGAGAAAAAGAAAGCTGAATATCCTCCAGTCTGTGGGGATTCAGAAGGTCGGTGAAGGGGGGACATCTGAGTCTGTTGTGCTTCTCGGGCCAGTTTCTTGATCAGGATGTAGATGATATGAGCGATGATTCACTCTGTCCCACTTAGCTATGCTCTCATAACTCAGCAACAAGCAAAGCTGTTTGTTTTTAATTATTCTTATAGTGTATAGCGTAAAACAGTCACCCAACTTCAACTTTAGTTAGGTGATTTTTTTTCTTAACCCAACATTTTGTTATGAAAAATTTCAAACATATAGCAGATTTGTAAGAATTTCACAGTGAACACATGTACACCCACAATCTCAATACTACTGCACTTACCTGTTACCCTGTTACTGTACTGTATTATGGATCTGTGTGTCTTTTTGTCCCTCTGTTCGTCTTTTTTTTTTTTTTTTTGCTTTTTAAAGTAAATTGCAGATATCAGTATACTTATCCATAAATGCTTAACGCCTGCATTTAATTAACTGCATTTAATTGGACTCAGCATTTACTGATGTAAAATTTGTATATAATGTAGAGATCTTAAGTATTCATTTGTTAAGTTCTGACAAATACATACACTTTTATAACATGTGCAGACCTGTCATCACCATTATCCCAGAAAGCTCCATTATATCCCTTCCCAGATAAGTACTGCTCTGATGTTTTTCCACCATAGATTTATCTGTTCTAAAATTTCACTTAAGTAGAGTTAGTCAGTAATGATATGTGTAAAACAGCTTTTTCATTCAGCTTAATAATGTTTTTGAGATTCATCCTTGCTGTTGTATGTATCAGTAGTTTCTTCCTTTGTTGCTGACCAATATTCCACTGTGCACACGTATCAGTCTAAAAAAATCTGCTTCTTTTGCTTTTAAGGTTTTTTTTTTCTATTTGATTAGCTAAATGCTATTTTCAGAATTATCTGAATCTCTTGTGTAATTAATTACTTTGCTCTAGGTTATATTATACATGCAGTATTGCTTTTAATTTTTTGGTTGTTAACTTGAACAGCTAGCAGTGCATGTCAGCCAAAAATGTATTTTGTAGTCTCCACAGAAATCCCAGAGTTCTTAATAATTTTAAAAAGATAAAAGTGATAGCCAGCTTGTTCAGCAGGTATTTAGGCCAAATGTCTTAGTAGGTCTTTTCTTCTTTCTTCTAAAGTGTTAATTACTTGAATACTTAAATTGAATTTTAAATTCTAAGAGCAATGAGAGTTGAATCCACAGTGGGAACAGAGCTATGAAACAATGACACAAAAACCATCTGTTCTTTTTACCATGAAATTAGAATGAGTATACAGTGAATAGCTGCCAATTTTAACCTTGCGTGGTAATTTAGACATATTAGTTTAAAAAATAGGACTCCAAATGTTAGTGACAGGAGAATAAAATTAGATGTAGTAAGTGTATATACAGTGTGCAGTAGGTTTATAACTGCATTGTTCTAAAATAATCGAACATCATAGTCTGTAAGATACCAGTTGTTGAGTACTTTCTGTGTACTGAACACTTTGTTTAGTTATTTTTAAGTTTAAGTAATTCTAAAAAGTAGATACCATTATCCTCATTTTACAATTGGGGAAACAACCTGGGAAACATTAAGTGACTGCCCACCGTCACGTAGCTTATGAAAGAGTCGCAGTTTTGAATCTAAGCTTGCTTTACTCTGAAGTCCCTCCGTTACACTATTCTGCCTCTCAGGTAAACCAGTTGCGTCTCTTCAGATAAGTAAATTTTGGTTCTTTTGTTGATACCTGGAGGTCGGATATTTAGCTATTTAGTTAGAAATTTTGGAACAAATTCTGAGATTTCTGATTTCTGTGGTTCAGGATGTATTAGAAAAGATTTTGTGCTGGGTATCAGAAAACAGTAGTGTTACCAAACTTGCTTCAGCCTCTGTATACAGTGGGCATTCACTACATTTTTGCTACATTGTGTGTTTGACCTTAACTTGCTCTTACTACTATCCTGAACTCTTGAAACTTTGAAAAGAGCTTACGTGCCTCTCAAAGTGAATTGGAAAGCCTAGGATTTTCATATTTTATAAGGAAAAACTGCAGCCAACCCTCCAAAAAGTATTATTTTGTTAGTGCTTTTGAAGTTTTTTCTAAACATTTTATGTTTGTCAGGAGATGACACTATCTAGATAATGACATGATTCATTAGGAACAATTTTATAATCATTAAAATCTGGCAATTAAAATCGCAAATCCAGTAATGAATAATCATGTAGGCAATGATCTATCACAACTCTTCCCCCAAAATAGCAGTTGATGCTCATTAACTTTTAAGCTTTTGCTTCTCCCAGTAGGAATAAACTTTATTACTTTTCTAGAAAAATATTGCCAATTATAATAAAAATTGCAAGTCCCTTTTTTGGCATAAGATTTGAAATAGTGTTTTTATGTATTCATTATAGATTATGATGCATTCATTGCAAATTCTTTCTGTAAGACCATCATATTACAAACCTTTCTAACATAATGAAACTGTTGGCAAAAGATCTACCAGATTGTCCTTGACAAAGTGAACCAAGGACACAAGTGAGGAGGAGCTGGTGAATCAGGCAAGGGCATCAGCATCTGATGTAGTTGAGTTAGCATCTTATTATTGTGTTTTTTTAGCTTTAATCCTTAGTAAATTGTTTTAATTAACCAGTATGTTCCATACTGTATTAGTATCTGTGTGTGTATATTTTTAAGCACCATTATCAAAAAAGAGAGATACTATTATATATATGTATGAGAGAAACAGTTTACGAAAACAGTCTGCAACTATTGTTAGAAAATTGTGACTTACAATCCCCTGAAATTTTTATAGTAATATCATAAACTATTAGAACCATTTCCTAACTATATGTATATAATAGGCTCGGCGACAATAACACAAATTAGTCACAAGGCTGCCCCGTTACTTGTGTAACACTGGGAAAGGCCGTGGTGGGTGTGGTGGTGGTCCTCCTTTTCCCCTGAACAGCTCGCTCTCATGACCACAGTGACGACTATATCCAGATTCTGAATACTCAAGAGACACTCCAATCCAGTGTTAAAGACACTGAGCCTTTTTATCCCCAAAGAATGTAGCACTCCTTCTGACACCAGCAAAGTTGTGAAGGTGTGTGACACATCACAGAATGGGAGGTTACAAATCCTTAAGGTGTTCTGCCTCCTCTGTGAGTCCCTGCCCCCTCTCTTTCCAACACAGAAATAGTCACATAATTTTATTATAATAAAATTTGTAAAGACACACCAGTAACAACAGCAACAAGATATGTTCAAATATAAAGTGTTACTATAATGCGGTTAAGAAAGCTGTTCTAGATGGGAATCATAGAATGAATACCTAGAGTTTAGCATTACCTGTTGAAGATGAACATACATATACTATAAAAACTCAGTAAGAAAAAGATTCATTCATTCATTCAGCGAGTACCTATTGAGATCCTTTGCTAAGTTCTAGTCATCGTGCTTGGCACTGATTGTACAAGAACAAACAAGGTAGACAGGACCTCTGCCCTCAGAAACCAACCAAAGGTCTTCGTCCCAGGGCACCTGAAGGATGGCACATCTCTGGCTCAGTTTTGTCCACAATGTTTGGGGGTCCCATGCATGGAGTCTTAAGGTAGATTTCAAATGTGGGCAGATGTGTGTATAAAGGAGTTATAATTATTCTGTGGTTCATAAGAGGAGTAAAATAAAAGACCAAAGCTATATTGAGAGAGAGAAAAAAAAGGATAGAGATGTAACTAATGGTCAAACCACGTGAAATGTCTCAAGCTGTTTGTGGGGATTAATTCTAAGAGGATGAATAGGAATATTTTGTCCTGAGGGCATTGGTTTTTTTCATCTTCTTTCCTTCTTTGCTTCCTTCTCTATCTCCCTTTCTGTGATATTACTCCTTTTCTGTACCCACAAAATTGTACCTGAGGCCTTTGGAACTCATGAGAAAATACTGGTCAATTAAAATTTTATCAAAAGTAAGCATTGTTTAGTGCTTATGTAATAGAAAAATAGAAATTAGGAGAATAGAATTACACTTTCAACTTTGTTATCAATTTAGTCTCAATTGTCCATTAAATAAATTGAATCTCTAGTAAAATATGATTATGTATTTTCAACTTTTTACTTTTACAAATAACGCTTAACAAACATCTATACACATTTATTTTTAGCATTTTGCTAATTTTTTTTCAAAGGGTCAACTCTTAGAAACAGATTGACTAGTTCAGAAGAGATATATTTTTAAGGCTGTTGAGATATACAGTATCTTTAACTAGTTTTTACTACCAGCAACAGTATATAACAGTGCCCTTTTCCTATACTTTCACCAACATTTAGTATTTTTAACATTTATCAGTATCATTTAATATTTTTGTCATTTAATATTTTATCATTCAGTCATTTATAATGTATCATTTAATATTTTAAACAGTATCAGTAAATATAGTATTTATATTAGTATATAGCTTATAAATATAATATATATGTTAGTATGTGTATATGTGTATGTGTTATTTTCAAAATAAATTTGATACACATAAAATGGTATCTTATTTTCATTTGAATCTTCTATAACATTAAATACTTTACAATTGTTACTTAGTATTTTATGAATTGCCTAGTCATTGATAGTCACCCAGTTTTTATTTAAAGGGGTTTACCTTTTCTTTTTAATTTATAATAGTCTATAACATACCAGTTTTATCCCCTGTCATATACTGTAAATGTGTTTTTCTCCAGTTTGAGAAAGAATAATTGGGGGGGGGGCAGCGGAGGTAATTAGTTTTTTATGTGATTTATTTATTTTAATGGAAGTACTTGGAATTGAACCCAGGACCTCATGCATGCTAAGCACGCACTTTACCACCGAGCTATACCCTCCCCACCGAGAAAAAATAATTTTAAAAAAGAAAAATTAGCTTTGTAAATTTTAAACTTAAAGAGAGCTATATGATCCTTATATGAATAATCACTTTTTTTGTCCTTCTTTAGGTTTTTTTCCTACCGTTAAGTAACACCATCCTCAGCTGTTTTAAAGATAACTCCATCTTTGCCTGGGAATGCGATACTCTTATTTGCAAATACCAACTGCCAGCTCCACCTGAAAGCTCCACTATACTCTACAAAGTGTTCGCTGTGACCAGGTAACGTCCATTTTAAAACACTGAGGATTTTTAAGAAATTTAACTTCCAGTGAAATTTTATAAATTCTCATTCAGTATTTTATTGTCATGAGAAAAAATTTTCTTTAAATTTAAATGTGGTCTAAGATAAGTTTTTTTACTTGTTGTGGAAAATAAACGCAGAAATAGAAAAGTATTTGAAACCCTATCATAAGCATCAATAGCCCCTCTGTTTTATCTATAACTCTACTTACTACTTCTCTGCTGTGTTGTTACAAAGCAAAGCCTAGTATATCATATCATGCACAAATATCTCAATGTGTATCTCTAAAGGATCAGGACCCTTTTTGAAACAGAACCCTGGTACTATCATCATCCTTTTAAAAACGCATAATTTAATTCTATCATACCTAGTTATTATTTGGATTTCCCTGATTTGTCTAATAATTAATTGCTTTTTATGATTGGTTTGTCCAAATCAGGAACAAAATAAGGTTCCCACATTGTCTTGGTTGGTATATCTCTCTTTTTATATTTTCCTTGCAGTTAATTTGTTAAAGAATTGGTCATTTGTCCTGTAGTTTTCTATATTCTGGATTTTGCTATTTTCATCCCTGTGGTGCTGTTTAGTATGACCCTCTCTGATCAGTATTTACTATAAACTGGTTATACCTATATTTCCCAGAAGTTAGAGGCTTGATCTGATCTGGTTGGATTTGGGGGCAAGAAGACATTATAGGTGGTTTGTGTGCTTCCATCAGGAGGAACACAGACCTCTCTTATGATGTTAGTGGCTATTGATGATCATTACCTAGATCCTGTGTTGCATTGGAGTTTAGCAAAATGGAGCAATTCTAATTCTGTCTTTCCTTCTCCCTTATAGACTGAAACTTCCTGTAGAAAGAAATTTCCTCTCATCAACTCTTTGGTTACTTTGCTGTATGGTTTGTAAAGGAAAGGCAGGACAAATGCTTGATTTCTTCCTCTATTAAAAAAATTTTTTTTCAAAATAATAGATTAGTTTATTGGCATCTTCAATGGTGGCCAGTGAAGTTTTTGTCTTTAATCTTTGTAAACATAGTTGACATGATTTACTCCATTATAGTTACTATCCTTAGTGATGCTCCAGTTCTCTCGTCTCTGACCAGTGGCATCCTCTTCAGGTCGGCTTTGAACCTGTTTGGTACAACCCCAGGCATATGTGATAGCTCTCATTCTTTCTGGTCTGGTGAGATGTTCCAGTCTTGTGTATTTCCTGTCCCAAACCTGGAATCAGCCATTTCTCTAAGGAGCATGGGTTCATTTTAGTGGGAAATGATATATTGACACCTGACCTGGGTGCTCGGTTCTCACTGTGACTAGCTTGGTCATTGTTTCCAGGTGTCTTCAATGGAAAGAGCTAGGCAATGGACCTTATTTCCTCTCTTTCTCTCACCTTCTTAGTTATCAGTAAATCCCATCAACTCTATCAGACTGTATCTTGAATTAGTCTGCTTTCTTTTGTCCATTGCTCCAGCTTTACCCCAGTCCAAGTTTCCCTAGTCTTTTTCAGGCTACTGTAATAGCCTCCTTAATTGGTCTCCCTGCTTTCAATCTTATTTCCTAAAGTCAGTCTCTACAAAGCAGATAGGGTAGTCTTAAATCATTGAGTCAAGCCATGTCATTTCCCTATTGAAGTCCCTGAAAGGCTTTCCCACTGCTCTCAAAATACAGTCCAGTTCATTTACCTTCCTCTAGACTGAAAATCCCATAAGAACAGGGGTCTTAACTGTTGTCTTGTTCACCACTGGGTCCCTGCCACCTGGAGTGAAACCTGGCTAATAGTGGGCTCTTTACAGGCCGTGGTGAATGAATGAGCGACAGCCTTGCAGATCAGTGCAGCTTATTCTTTTTGTACCTTCTAAACATGAAGTAGCTTTCTTCAAGGAAAGAAAGTTTGGGCTTTTTGGTTTCTCATATCGCAACGCTGTATCAATTCAGTATAGTTATGTGTGAAATACAGAAAGTTGGATAGTGGTAAGTGACTTTGAGATTGTGCTATAAAACATAAATGTTATTCAGAAACCCCCAGTCAAGTCATCAAACAAGCATTTGTTAAGCCAATATCTTAGCACAAGAGATAAAAATACATATATATATAATATATATTTATATAATATATATATATACACAATATAAACCTGAGTTTTCCTATGTGGTAGCCACTGGGTGCCTGGGACTTTTCAAATCAATAAAAATTAAACAAAGAATTAATGTCCTCGGAAGCACAAGCCACATTTTAGTTCTCAACGATCACATGTGGCTAGTAGTGACTGTGTTGGACAGCGTAGACGTGGAACGTTGCCATCATACTGGATCATACTGGACAGTGCTGCTGTAGGTAACTCACCTAGTCTTTTTCATCTTCTTGTCACGTAGAGATGGTCGAATCCTGGCTGCTGGGGGCAAATCAAATCATCTTCATCTGTGGTGCCTGGAAGCTAAACACCTATTTAGAATTATACAGATGCCCACGAAAGTTCGAGCCATTCGCCATCTAGAATTTCTTCCTGATAGTTTTGATGCTGGTTCTAATCAGGTTAGTAACAATGTTGGTAACACTGTACTTTTTTAGGAAGCTCCTATCAATTTCTGACCTTTATCAGTTCTCTTATTTAACTTGTACCCTGCCTGTTAACAGGGATTTGAAATTGCTCATATCTTTATAAAGAGTCTAAGATTGAAAAAAAAGGAAAAATCTGGTTCTGTATATTACTGATAATTTACTTTTTCTCTAAAATCAGTATACTTTATATTGTGTCATGCTTTGTGGTTTACAGAGTGATTGAACGTGTTATTTTTTATTTGATCCTTAAAGAATTATTTGGACATAGGCAGGGAGGGCATTCTCACCATTGTGCTAGTTGTGACACCGAAGCTTAGAAACATTAAGTGACTTGTCAGCACTCCTGTTCATTTTAAGGATTAAAGGTAGGACTAGAACTGAAATTCTCTCACTTCGCTGCACTGTGTTTTATCCGCCATACCTGGTTGCCTCAGTCCTAAGAAACCTGTTTGCTTTCTGTCCTGCCTTAGTTTACACAGTGCTCCCCCACCACACACCTTTTTTCTTTTTAATAGTTGAGTAATTGAACCTTAACTTTCTTATTTTAAATTGACTATCTTGGGTCTTGCACATGAACAAATTATATATACATATATATATACACACATATATGTATAAATTATACATATATGTGTGTTTTATGTATATATGTATAATATGTGTGTATATTTATCATGTCTATTTTAAGTTTTTTGAGTAGATAATGCTTAAACATGGTTAAAAACATGAAAAAAATTAAAAGGCATAAAGTGAAATCTTACTCCTCTCTCCCACTTGCCCAGTTACTCACTCTCTGTAACCACTGTTGTTATATAATCTTATGTTTTTCCCAGTTTTTTACACAGCTTTGCACCTTGTTTTTCTTCACTTAATCTACCTTGAAGATTGTTCTATTTCAGCACAGAACTTCATTCTTTTTTTTTTAACAGCTGCATAAGTTTTTTTAATCCATCCTTTATTATTAGGCACTTAGCCTATTTTTAGTCCTTTTCTATTACAAATGATGCTGCACTGAATACCTTTTGCACATGTCATTTCATACATCCTGTCTGTAGGGTAAAATCCCAGATTTAAAATAGTGGTACAAGAGTTATGTGCATCTGTAGTTTTGATAGATCCTGCCAAACTACCTTCCAGAGAGATTGCTTCTACTGTGAAGGAGGGGGTTTCCTACCATCTAACCAACAGAAGGACGCTCTGTTCAGATTGTCACCTTCAAATTGCCTCTAACTACCTCCAAACCGTAGTCTTTCATATAACAAGGGACATCAGCATTTCACAAAATTGCGAGGTGGCACTGCTTACCAGCCACTGGCCCTGGGAAAGGAGCCTGCATGTGGACAGGGCAGTAGAGGAGCTTATTTTTTGTATATGTTCAAGCTTTTTTAGTACATTTAAAATTTTTCAAATTGTGTGAATTAAAACTAACTTTTCCCTCCTTAAAAGTCTAGCTTCCCTCTTACCCCTGCACTGTCCTTGCAGCTCACGGACGTCCTCTCTCCACCCGCCAGGGGCTCGTTTCAGTCCCAGATTTGTGTGGCGGCAGCAGGACAGATGTTAGCTCTGCTCAGGCTGAGGATGGGGAAGGGGAACAGACACTGCACCCTCCTTGCTCCTGATGGCCAGTGTGGAGTCAAAGTGAAGGACTGTGCTCACCTGTGCTCCCTCTGGAGGGAGCGTGGAGATAAGCCTGCCTGTGGGAAGGGAGGATTCTTAGGTGACCTTTCTGTAGTCGCCCAGGACGGGCTCCTTACTGGCTCTGGTTAGAGCCAGGCTTCTCTGGACCTGACCAGCGCGAATCTACATGAGCCAAAATTAGGGATTTTAAAATATATGATGGCTCTCTGTGAGTATAATCTCTGACTGTCCTCCCCTCAAAAAAATACACACACACACATAAAAATACACACGTGCGTGCCTTTGTGTAGTTTGACTTTCAGACATTTGACCCTTTTTTTCGTTGAGGTGTAATTGACATATAACATTGTATTAGTTTCAGGGGTGCAACATGGTGATTCAGTACTTGTCTACATAGTGAAGTGATCGACGTAAGTCTAGGCAACATCTGAGACTTTGAAATGTGTTTATGTTGTTTCTCTCTACTCTTAGGTTCTTGGAGTGCTAAGTCAGGATGGTATTATGAGGTTTGTTAATACACAGACTTGTAAACTTCTCTTTGAAGTTGGGAGCCTTGATGAAGGAATTAGTTCTTCAGTAATTAGCCCACATGGACGGTACATTGCATCTATTATGGAAAATGGAAGTCTGAACATATACTCAGTTCAGGCTTTAACAAAAGAAATAAATAAGGTATGTTATCAAGTAAGCAATGCCTTTTTTTAAGAGTTAAATGTTGATTCATCAAAAATAAAAACTTAATGCTGCAGTTTTCTAACTTCCTTGCACCTTATCCATTTTTCTGAATTTTGTTGTTGTTGTTCTTACTCCCAGAGCCGCATCTCCAGCTTTCCGCACCTGTGCTCCATTCTTAAATTCACATCTCCATCGAAGGTATCTGTTTGGTGTCCCTGTCCCGTTCAAGGTGCGCTTCTGATCTGCTTCTCACGAGGGGTCTTCAATCCAGTCTCTTCATTTCTGTCTTTCTTCCCCTCTTATAGGCTAGACACCTTGGGCCTCTATGACTGTTTCTATTCCTTTATTTCCCAGATCTGGTCGACGCCAAGTCATGTAGTCCTTAAATGTGAAGTGTCTAAAATGTGCTGCCTGTTCTCCGTGTCCCTGCTGGCCATCCATGTACTGGTGCTCATTAATAGCTCTCAAATTATAGTCATTTAAACAAATATACCAAATCTCAGAGCCCTCAGGGTCTGCCCTGCCCATCAGTCCATCTTTTTATATAACATTTCTCTAAAATAGTACTTTCATCACCAATTCTAAAATAATGCTACTTTAGTGCCTTCCCTTTCCTGTTGCATTAAGTCCAAACTCTTCTGCCTGGCTCTCCAGGTCCTCGCTAATCTTTGTCTTCTCTATGTAACATATTTCCCCATACTTTCAACTTCCCTCATTGTCCCCCGTAGATACCATTGTCATTTCTACATCTGTTACTCCATTATTCATTGTGTCTAAAATATACTTCCCTCCTCTCTTACGGTTATCTGAAATTTCCCCAGCTGGTATCATGTCCAGTGGTTCTTTGGGAGCCTTTCCAAGTCTGGGCTTGTATCATTTGCATCATGGGACTCTGGTGACCACCAGTCTAACCATTTCATTTTACAGGAGGGGCAGCTCACTCCCCAGCCTGATAACACAGCCGGTCATTAGCAGGCCCAGGAGTTCTGGTCTTGATATGACAATCTCTTTGTTATGTGCCTGCTCCTTTTTATTTTTTTTTTTTCAGTTAGAAAGGTAATAAGTTCTTACTATAGACAAAATAAAAAGATACAGATAAGCAAGCAGGATAAATAAGTCTCACCGTTCTCAGATAATTTTGAAACGTATACCTTTTTTTCCATGTGTATAACTATATACAGCCAATCCTTATTCTTCATGGATTCTGTATTTATGAATTTGCCTACTGGTGAAAATTTATCTGTGACTCTTTTTTTGTTGTTGTTGAGGTGGGAGGTAATTAGGTTGATTGATTTAAATGGAGGTACTGGGCATTGAACCCCAGACCTCGTGCCTACTAAGCATGCGCTCTACCACTTGACCTATCCCCTTCCCCCTTATCTGTGACTCTAAAATCAGCCCTCACTGCATATTCACAGACATGGACGCCACGCAGAGCAGGAAAAAGTCTGAGCTGCCTATCATCCGGTTCCCAGCTTAGGTCAAATGAGGCAGCCTCTGCCTTCCCATTCCAGCACTCATACTGGGGACAAGTGTCCTTTTCTTTCTCTACTGAGTGCCACATTTTTCACATTTTTTCTGCTTTTTGTTGGTGATTTTGCTCTTTAAAATGGCCCCCAAGCGCAGTGCAGGGGTGCTGTCTAGTGTCCTGATCACACAAGGCCTGTGAGGTGTCCTGGGGGGAACATAACGATGTTAGAGAAGCTTCCAGGCCCAGCTTCCAGGGCTTTTGGTGTGAGTTCAATGTTAATGAGTCAATACTCTGTAGTAAATTAGTGTCTTTAAACAGAAACATACACAAAACAAAATTACATGTTGAATAGTTGACAAAAACGTGGCTAGAGACTCAGAGGGACCTAACTCTGTGTTTCTCCTGGAACAGTGATTCCATATTCACTACCTTGGTGTTCGTGGTGACTCTGTGGGACACAGCTGCCATGAACAATGAGACTCTGCTGTGTGTGTGCACGCGCGCATTTTCTTTAAATGTATGGCATTATACTCTACTGTTCTCATAAACTTAAAAATTTTTAATAACATGTTATTTGCTCTTAATGAGTTTTTAGCCTAGTGAATGTCTCAAGAGCTAGGTGAATATTATTCATAGAGAGCGATCTGAGAAAAAGCAAGGTAAGTGTGAGTCATTGGCTTCCTCTCTGGTATTTGTTAAGCAGATTGAGATCAGAAAAGCTAGCTTATTACAGAAGTAGGATGATTTTTTTGGACACCTGACAAGCACCACCAGCGTCTTTTTGGCTGTTCCAGGACTATAAAAATGCCCAGGTTTATACAAAACTTACTACCCATGCCACATTCCTTCAAGTCCCACTTTCTTGCCATTGGAGAATTTCTGGTATTGAGCTCACAGTAAGTAAGCACATCCTTACTTACACGTTGAGGTTTTAACACTGCTAAGGTATGGCAGTTGGGGTCGTATCTCAGGATCCAGCTTTGGGGAGATTGCTTCATGGAAGAGCCATGAAAAATGGCACTAGAACAGATCTTTTAATAAAGATTTAGAAGAACGGATTGAGGTTAGAGAGAAGATAGTTCAAGGATATAAAGATGGGCAATATTCATAAGTCAGACTACTATTAATTACATTTCATAAAGAATTAAATCATAGAGTAAGTGGTCATTGTACTTCTTTTGGCCAGAGCTATTGTTATATTTCACATTACCCTTGTAATCTTTCTAGATGTGAATAACAGTGTATCCTAGAAAAACACTTTGTAGATGCAGTTAAAACTTTAAATACTTTTCATAATAATTTTAAAACAAAAGTATAGTATCAGTGCCATGTGTATTTATATTACCTATTCTATATATAATTTTACAGTGTTGTGTATCATATGTGCTACAGTTGACAATAAGGAATACTTTCTTGGTCTCCTATAATAGGCTGCAGGTTTCAAAAGCAGAAATCCTCAACTTTTGAAGGCAACATGAGAAAAATCTTTGTGGAAACCTCAAAGTAGTCTTTTAATAGTCTGCTATTTAAAGAGTCAAAATGTTTGCTTTGTTCTATTTATTTCTTTTGGGGGCAAGTTGAGGGGAAGAGGTCAAAAAAGTTTGATTTCTGCTTCAAAGAGCTTGCTCAAAGGTGGTGATTCATGTTCATTGTTCCTCATTGTGGAAGCACACTGTTCTGACTTTCATGACAGTTTGAATTCAAGGTGATGTGTGTAATGTGTGTGTTTCTGAAATCCGATATGTTCATTTGGACATTTGGGGTATTCCTTGTGTTCTTGTTCTCATATGAAAGAAATTGGCACTTTGGTTTCAAGAAAAACTTTAAAAATCACAGATCCGCCCTGTCTTTGATCTGGGCTAATTACTGAGGAAACATTCAGCAATAATGGTCTCAAGCATTTAAATACCTTGTGAAAGTCATTGTACTTTAACCATGTTTAGAACTCAGGAAGCCTGAGTTACCTTATCTGCTCATTTCCTTTGAACAAGGAAGATCTTTTTATTTCAAAAAAAATTTTATTCATAGAGAGAATGTCTCAGTGAATCATTTTACCTTAAGTAAATTGAAGTTATTGGGGCTTATTTTCCTGTTGGATAGGCCCCCTAAAAGTGAGGGTTTGGTATCTAAGTCTTGCTATCTGAACTGCCTATTAGGTGGTTGATGTAGTGAGGACTAACGGCCATCTCCATGTAGATTAAAAACTGTGACCAAGGACAGAGAGGCTGAGTCCCATGCTTTCAGAGAAGAGTCATCTGACTGTTTCCCTCTAAGGGACTTCACTTGAACCCAAAGACTATTTAGGGTGCTTCTCTCAGCATTCTGGAGCGAGCCACATGTGTAACTGCCTTCTCTGCAAGTTATCACTTTACCACTCACTTCATCATTCAAGTGTAAAAAATAGATTAATACAAATAATTTAAGGCCAGCTTTCAAGGAATAATTAAATTCTGTTTATCGTTGTTAATCATGAATCTTTATGACATTCTTCAAAGGAATTTGACAGAAAATTGCTTTGATTCGCAATTGCTTTGAGTCGACAAGGAACATTCTTGGATATTTTATTTACTTTTTATCCGAAGGATAATTATATATATTAAGGCACATTACTAGATTGACCAAAAATGAATTTTGTAAGTCATATGTTAACAGGTCTATTTTGCAAGGATAGCCACTGGATTTTTTCCCCCTCTTTTAGCCACCTCCTCCTTTAGTGAAAGTGATTGAAGATTTGCCTAAGAAGAAAGTGAATTCTGGTGATCTTAAGGTGAAGGTGACGTCAGGAAGAATACAGCGGCCGGCAAAATCAAGAGAAAGCAAAGCACAAACCAGGATATTGAAACAAGACCTGGCTGGCAATTTTGAAAATAAAGAGGTAAGAATATCTGAAACCTGTGTCATAACTTTGCTGTAGACGAGTCTCCTGACTTCTAGGCTGTCATCACTCTTCCCTCTCTTAGGAATTGAAGGAAAGTTATATGAAAAGAAGACAGTTGTAACTGAAATATAATATGCTTATAAAACTTTTTAGTATAAAATTAATGCATGTTTATGATTTTTTTAAAAAGTCAAACAGTATAGAATTGCACTGTCCAGTAGGCTGGCCACGAGTCACATGTGGCTTGGTCTGAATTGAGATGTGGTCTATGTGTGAAATGCACATCAGATATTGAAATTTTACTATGAACAAAAGAATGTAAAATATTTTTCTAATTGAAGTATAGTTGATTTATAGTATTACAGTAGTATAATATAGGGATTCAATATTTTTATAGATTATACTCACTTTAAAGTTATTTAAAAATATTGGTTATATTCCAATATATCCTTGTAGCTTACTTATATGTCGTAGTTGGTACCTCTTAATCCCTTACCCCTAAAGAATGTAAAATATCTTATTAAGTAATAATTTTATGCTGATTATATGTTGAAATGGTAATATTTTTATTACACTAGATTAAATAAATGCATTAAAGTTGATTTTACCTGCTTTTTATTTTTTTAACATGGTTTCTAGAAAACTTAAAATTTCCTTAAGAAATTTTCTTAAGAAAATTTAGATGTAATTTAAAAAATTACAGGTGTCTCTTTCATTACCTGTTAGACAATGCTGGTTTAGAAGGTTGTAAAGGGGAAAAATAAAGACATACTTTTCTTCCTCCCTGTTCCCTAGCCCACTCTTCATTGCACTCCCCAGAGGTGACTATTGTTAATAGTTGTTGACATCCTTTCAGACATTTTCTCTGTATAAGCATACGTGTATCTGTGTCTGTTACTTTTTTATTTTTATATTTTTACATAAATGGAATCATACTGTAGTGCTGTTTATAACTTGCTCTTGCCACTTAACAGGTTGAATATCTATTTGTATTACTGCGTGCAGTGCTACAGTGTTTTAAAAACACTTGCGTGGCATTGCATTTGTGGGTATGCCTCAATTTATCTCCCCGGGACTCTGCTGACTGGTATCAGGTTCTATCATCAGTCCTCTGATAACACAGCTTGTGATGCAGTGGATATTCTTGTACAGTTATCTTTGAACATTTGCACAGACGTATCTTTAGAAGGAGAATTTTTAAGTCAGAGTGTGTGCATAAAAATTCTGAGAAGAGTAGCCAAGCTGATCTTCAGAAAGAATGTTCCGATTTCCCTTTTTGCCTTGTTTGAGATGATCTGTTACTGTGTGTGTGAGAGAGAGGGATTTATTCAAGAAAAACTTAGAAACAGCCAAAATGTCTAACAGTAAGTAACTAATCGTATAAATTATTGTAGAGCCATACGCTAGGACTATTTAAGAGGAAAGGGGAATAATTACATTATGTTAAATATAAAAAACAAGCTACAACTATATGCTTGGGCATCAGTTAATTTAAAAAAGATACGAGAACTTATGTGTTATTTCTAAAACTCCATAAAAAAGATCAAAATACTAATAGAATTGCCCATCTGTTTCAGTCGGTTTTATTTTCCTCCTTAGACATATTTTTTGTAGTTTCCTACTTTTCCGTGAAAGGCATATATTGCTTTGGAATTGAAAGACAATAACAACATTAATAGAGAAGCTGCTAACATTTTCAAACTTTTTGTTGATATTAAATCAATAAATGCGCAGCTCAGTACATTTTTAGATTGACTACATCTGTATTACCAGCACTCAGATCAAAAACTGGGCTATTCCCAGCACCCTGGAAGCCCTTCCAGGCACTTTTGTCCATCCCCAAGGATAACTGCTCTCTGCCTTTTAACGTCATGCATTAGTTCTGCCTTTTTTGTACTTAAGTACATTCAGTTGGTACTCTTGTGTGTCTGGCTTCTTTCAGTTAACAATATGTTTGAGAAATCTGTGTAGTTGTAAACCATTCACTCACAGGTTTATTCCATCGTGTGAATAAACCAAACTGTGTCCATTCTGCTGTTGATAGGCATTTGGGTAGTTGCCTGCTTTTCTTGCCGTTAGAAACAGTGCTGCTGTGAACATTCTAGTTCATCTCTGGTGAACATAAGGACATGTTGCTGTTGGGTATAAACCTAGGAATGGAATTACTGGCTTATGGGCTGTGCATATGTTCAGCTTTAGTGAATACTGTCAGATAGTTTCCCAGGTGGTTGATTAAAACAACCTATATTCCCACCAAGAGGTATTTCAGAGTTCTAGTTGCTCCATATTCTCACTGACTCTTGGTAATTTTCACATTAGTTTCAACAGCCTCTTTTCTTCTGTAAGCATTTTTAAAATGTGAAACTTGCATCAAAAGAAGAATGTGTGAAGTGTTGTCTATCAGGGAAATTCATTAAGAATTCAATACCCAGGATTTTTCCTGGAGGCTGGTTGTATAGGCACCTTCCAGGTAGTGCATTTCGAAATCCCAGACTCCGCGAGGAAAGCAGGCGTTCAGCGGGAACCACAGTGTGCAGTTTAGGCGCAGTGAGCCACTCTCACTGGTTCTGGGGATAGCGGGAATTTCCTCAAAAGCCAGGTGTCTAGACACTAGACAAGGGCCAGCTTTCAAGCAGGCCTTTCTAAGGATGGCAGTCTCAGACCTGCTGTGTTAGCTCTTTTCTGGGCCTGCTCAGATCCACATGACAAAATAGAGTGTTGCCAGTAGCTGTGCAGTCAGTCCCCTGTGTGCTTATCCCCAGTCACATTTCTCTCCCCGTCCCATAGAGGTTGCCGTTGTCCTCACTTCTGTGTTAATCGTGTCCTTGGTTTTCTGTGTAATTATATCACCAATACAATGTAACCCTAAACAAAATATTGTTTAGTTTTAAAAAAGTAAGTAACAGGCACAAACCTAGCTGTGTGAAGACTGGGCGGCATTGGCCCTGTTGGTTGAATGCACTAATGAGGAAATGAGCTGAGTGGTATTTCTGAGACATGGTCTGGCTTCAGACTTCCTAAGAGTGTACTGGAGCCTTTTCTGGGACAGCGAGTGGGTGTAGTCATGATTGATTTCTGGGAAACAAAGGGACACTGCGGTCAGGGCATCTGGCAGCAGTCCAGTGTGGATCAAAGCGGGATATGTCAGGGAGTCCCTGGACAAAAATAACCAGGAGTGGCTTAAAACACAAAAAAACAAAAAACCTATATCCAGCTCTAAGCAGTAGGTCAAAGGAGAACACTTCTATGAACAATGCATGTCCTCAGCTAATCGTGAAGTAGGAACTTCATCAGCTCAGGGTCTAGACAAGAAAACAGGTAAAACTCAGGCCAATTCACCTGAGCTTTCTGTCCTTTGTTAAAGAGGCTTCAGTGGCAGTGGGTATCTTGGTGATGACCACAGTGAACATGTCTCTCTCACGGACTGTGTTGCTCTGGTCTGGACTAGTTGCCTTCCATGTCTGGTGCGTGGCTCTCAAACGGGGAATCTTCATTCACTGTCATTTTGGGCTTTCCCCTCACCTCCCTCCTACATTGGGTTCACTGTTTCTTATGGTAAAAAAGAGCACTGAACTAAGAAAATCTGGCTTTGGATCTTGAGCCAAGACTTAACAGGTGAGTGCCCTTGAGCAAGTCACCGAACTTCTCTGACCTTCTCATTCTCTCAAAGAAATGATAGAACATTTCATCTGCTTCACTTAGTTGTTAGGCTTCCATGAGATAATCTAGGAATATGGCTTTATGATCTTAAAATCTATAAAATATTTTTCCATTAAGATAAAAATTGACCTAAAAGAAAAAGAGGGAGCAGGAGAGGGAAGGAAATATCAGGATGCATCGCTCTTGCTACAGGGGTTACAGAGGACAGCCCTGGGCCCACTCTGTCTACTCAAGCTAAGGATTTTTACATTTTTAAATGATTACATTTTAAATGGTTATATTAAGTATCTGCATAATGTCCTAATTTTGCCTGTTGGCCCACAAAGCGTAAAGCATTTACTCTCTGACCCTTTCCGGAAGAAGTTTACCAAACCCTATTATAGGGTAAATAATTTGTCACAAACTTTATCTGTTGTGTATATGCAGACTCAGGAGAGAGCAAGGGACGTGTGTGCATGCATGTGTGTGTGTGTGTGTGTGTAGAAGAGTCTCATGATATAAAATATTTTTTACCATGGTCTAGATGACCTTTTCAGTTTTAAGATTATGTCACTTATTGATACAGTTTTTTTTCTTTTTATAGAATGAATTGTCAGATGGATTAAATAAAAAGCGTTTACAAATCTTACTAAAAAGCTATGGTGAATATCCAACAAAATACAGGTAAAATTTAATTTCTTGCACGTTAAGTTAGTCTTACTCCCGAATTTTTCTTGGTTAAAATTATGTTTTAATTTCAGAATGTTCATTTGGCGTTCTCTGCTACAACTGCCTGAAAATCACACTGCGTTCAGCAGCCTTATAGATAAAGGTATTCATGTGGCATTTCTCAACCTTCAGAAGAACTATCCTATCAAAAGCAGGAAACTACTCAGAGTATTACAGAGGTATGTTCAGTATATTGCAGCATTGTTTATCTCCCCCAAGATATTTATTAATTACAAATGGGAAAATAGTGATTTTATAGTAGAGAAATTCAGCAGACACCACCTTAGCCAAGTAATCAAATGTAAAATCACCAGTAATAAAACATATCACTACGTTGCACGTCACTTTTGTGGTATTCTTGCCAAAAATTTATGACCTCAGTCTAATCATGGAAAATAGACAAACCCAAATTATACCAAATTTACCTTTTGTATTGAATTTTTTTGTCATGTGAATGTATTGTTTATTCGAATAAATTTAAACCAACTTCTCTGGTCTTCATTTCCTTATTTTATTCACAGAACCCTGTCTGCATTAGCTCACTGGTCCACCATCTTTAGTGACACACCGTATCTTCCACTCTTGGCATTTCCATTTGTAAAATTATTCCAGAACAACCAGCTCGTCTGTTTTGAAGTTGTTGCTACTCTTATAAGTAAGTAAATAAGTATAAATAATGACACCAAGAGTAGATTCTTGTACATTTTCCTGATGTCTTTGCACTTTTGCAACATTTAACAATTCTAGTGTGAGACAGTCAGACATAGCGCATAAAATGGACAGTTTGGACATTTATACATAAATAAACCTTTTTACTTATAGTAACATTTGGATGATTGCATTTCAGAAGATACTGTTGTTACAGGGTGGGTTTTGTTAGTAAGGAGGAAGCAGACGCTCCACTTACTGAAAGTCAGTTATTATTCATAGGTTGCAGGAAGTACGTAGAGCATTTAGCACCCAGAACCTAATGTGGCAGGTGTTGGCTGTTATCCTCATTCTCATCATCCAGAGCTAACATTTATCCAGAACTTTCTGTGTGCCAGGTACCATTCTCAGTGTTTTGCCTTTATTAATTCATTTAATCCTTACAGTTGACCATGAGGTAGGTGTTATTTATTGTTATCCCCTTTTTATAGATGAGGAAACTGAGGCACAGAGCACTTAAGTTACCACTGTTAGGTTAATGGCAGAATAAAGATTTGAACTCAGGCAGTCAGAATCTGTAGCTTGTACTCCCAACCACTGTGTTTACTGCTTGATCATTACCACCTACACTAAAAAGTGAGTCATTGTTTTCGTATTAGTAAAATCAGCTCAGCTAAATAGTTAATAAACTGGATCCACATTAAACCAAGACTGGTTTAACAAAAATAACCAATTTTTTATGTATCTTTCTCGTACAAAGTAGAAAAGCACTTAACTAACAATAAAATTCTGAAAAGTGGAAATAAAAAGGCCCAAGCATGCATATTGTGAATATTTAAATATGTTTTTCTTTACATATTTTCATTCATTTTATTACATTGCATTTGCTTTAATAAATTTTTACTCATAATTGGAGAAAATATAGGCAAGTATACAAAATAAAAGAAAATTTACTTATTTTCCTCTTTCTCAGAGACAATCTTGATAATATATTAGTGAATTTCCTAAAAGAGTGTTTCCTCCAAATCATTAAATATCGTCAAAAACATAATTTATTGCCCACAGGATATTTCATTGTATAGGTGCACCATAATTTATCCTCCAACTGTTAGAATTTTAGGATTTTGTTTTGTTTTTTTCTAATTTTTCCACACTTTAGGCAGTTCTTTATTTTTATAACTAAACTATTTTTGTTTAATATGTTGTGTACTTTTACTTGTATAAACTTTGTGAACATTTTGTTTATTATAATATTTGATAAATATTCATGCTCTGATTTCATCTTTTATTGTTAGACATTTAGGTTTCTAATTTTTATGTATTGAAAGTAACAATATCATGACTGTCTTCACATTCATAAATTTTAGGTAGATTCCCAGAATTGGTTTTACTAGGTCATAAAACATGAACATTCTAATTGATTCTGCAAAAGGGTTGTACTAGTTTACCCTGCCAATAACACTAAGTGTTGTAAAAGGAAAAAAAGCAAAACAAACAATCCAGTTTAAAAATGGGCAAAGGACTTGAATGGACATTTCTCCATAGAAAATGTACAAATAGCTAATGGCCTATGAAAAGATGCTCAGTATCATCAGTCATTAGGGAAATGCAAATCAAAACTACAGTGAGAACTACTTCATACCTACTAGGATGGCTGTAATTTAAAAAAGAAAGTAACAAGTGTTGGCAAAGATGTGAAAAAATTGAAGCTTTCATACATTGCTGATAGAAATATAAAATGGTACAGTCACTGTCAAAAACAGTTTGGCAGTTCCTCAAAAACTTAAAACATAGAATTACTGTATAATCCCACAGTTGTGCTAAGGATGTCCCCAAAAGAATTGAAAACAGACTCATACACAGATGTTTGTAGCAGCATTATTCCCAGCAGCCAAAAGGTGGAAGCAACCCAAGTATCAGTTAACAGATAAATGGACAAACAGTATGTGTATATATACAACGAAAATTTTTTTACATTTTTTTATTGAGTTATAGTCATTTTACAATGTTGTCAAATTCCAGTGTAGAGCACAATTTTTCAGTTATACGTGAATATACATATATTCATTGCCACATTCTTTTTCGCTGTGAGCTACCACAAGATCTTGTATATGTTTCCCTGAGACATACAGTACAATCTTGTTTATCTATTCTTTATATGCCTGTCAGTACCTACAAATTTTGAACTCCCAGCCTTATACAATGAAATATTCAGCCGTAAAAAACAGTGATGGTCTGACACATGCTACAACATGGATGAACCTTGAAAACATGGATAGTGAAACAAGCTAGGCACAAAAGGACAGATTTTTATGAAATTTCTCAAATAGGCAAATTCACAGGCACAGCAAATGGATTAGAGGTTCAAGGGCCGGGCCAGGCAAGTGGAAATGGAGTTAATGCTGAATAAGGACAAAGTTTCTGTTTGGGAAAGGATTTTAGAAATAGTGATGGTTGTACAACATTGTGAGTATAATTAATGTCACTGAATTGTACATTAAAAATGGTTAAAATGACAAACTGTATTTTAGAACAAGAAAGTGGCTCTTTATTAATGGGCGTATTGAAGACAAAAAGTGGATACATTTAAGAACTGCAAAGCCCTTTAATAATATAGAAAGGTAAAGATAAATTTTCAATTTTTTTCTTCATAGTCAATTGGTGTCAACACTGGTTTGAATATTTTCCTAATCCTCCTATCAATATTCTTAGTATGATAGAAAATGTTTTGGCATTTCATGACAAGGAGCTCCTGCAACACTTCATAGATCATGATATAACTTCCCAGGTAAGAAGTGTAAGGTTTTTAGAGTAACATAACTTATTTTGGAAGCTAACATTGGTTGTAATAGAAATAAAACAGTAATTTCTTAAAAGTATAATAATCAACATACTACTGATGTATTTTTAACAGTATTCCATCCTTTTTCTTCATTAAACTTCTTTCCTGACAGTCTGAAGAAGGGCCCAAATTAGGGTAGTTCTTTTCATAATTATGTTTTTAATATAATGATTTTTGTAGCTAAACCAAACATGAGAGCGTTAGCAGTAACTCTAGTAGGACTTTTCCCTGGGGAACTAACACATTTTTTTCATGTTTATTTTAGCTGTATGCATGGCCTCTTCTTGAAACTGTGTTCTCAGAAGTACTGACAAGAGAGGAGTGGCTCAGATTATTTGATAATGTCTTTTCCAACCATCCTTCATTCCTCCTGATGACCGTCGTGGCCTACAACATATGTTCTAGAGCTCCTTTGCTCCACTGTAATCTCAAAGATGATTTTGAGGTACATGTCCTTGTTCTTAAGTAGCAGTTCTCAAATTTCATTTATTTCAATTGAAGAATCCATGTACTTATTGAGTACCTATTGTATGTCAGGTACTGGTGCTCGGTGGTAAGACTCTAGTGAACAAGTTACCCCACCACATCCTTGCCTTTTCTTGGTTGTAGACAGTTCAGCAGATGGTAGCGGCTGCCTGCTAGTCCTAAAATCATAGCTGCAGGAAAGAATCATGATAGCACTGGAGTTTTGTGCTTTTTACCTGTTTAAAGTAACAACTGAGTAGTTGCTTATTCTGTGCATGAACTTTTCTCTGGCCAGCTGCTCTGTGATAATCTGCATGCTTATTGCACGTGCAGAACAGTAACTGAGAACTTTGAGGCGTGGCAGACGGTGACTGAAAGCATTAGAGAAGTGGGGGGATATAGCTCAGTGCTAGAGTGCCTGCTGAGCATGCACGGGGTCCTGGGTTCAATCCCCAGTACCTCCATTAAAATAAGTGAATAAATAAACCTAGCTACCCACCCCCCAAAAAAAAACCCCCAAAAGAAAGAATTAGAGCTGGTTTTTAAAAGGGGTGGTTCTTTTGGTAGACAGGATGGATTCAGTTGGTTTTGTTATTTGTTACTTATTTTGTGGTTCCTGTCAAACTTTATTTTTACTTCGTGATCACAAGATACATACATGTATGTATGTGTATATATATTAGAACTTGGATCTGTCAGCAGAACAAGATAACGTGGAAACATATCAGATATTTTTTAAAAATCAAGCTATTTTCAACGGCTAATTTATTTTGGATTTTGAAGAAAAAAAGTCCAAGTGGAAGAATTTTTTTGTTGAAGCATTCTTCTGTTACCAAGAAAGCCTACATTTTGGGTTAAAATTTAAAATGTGTTATTTCAAAATTTCATGACATGATTGTAAAATTTTATTACAGTTTGAGAATATGAAACTGGATCTTTAAAACTTGGGTTAAGAAAAGCTTCGGTGAATTTGCAAAACAACAAATCATCTTAAAGATGAATTCATGTTTACATTTTAAAATCTGTTTTAGTTCTACCTATAACTCCTTTGTTAGGTGAATCTCAATTTAAACACAGAGTTTCCTTGCAGTATTTTTTCCACCATCGGAATAACCTGGATATAAGTGCTGTAATTAGAGAAGTTTATCGTCTCATGGACACCACGCCCACTGACATTCATCCAGACAGCATGCTTAACGCTTTTGTGGCGCTGACAAAGGGGCAATACCCAGTATTCAATCAATACCCAAAGTTCATTGTGGACTATCAGACACAGGAACGAGAGAGAATAAGGAATGATGAATTGGATTACTTAAGAGAGAGGTAATCATGGAACAGTTGTTCTTTGATAAAAACAAAATCTGTTACAAATGTAAATAAAGTTTTTATGAAAAATATATGTAAATTATTAAGTAGTAATGTAAAATCAGAGTTTGAAGGATAGAAATATCTTTAAAGATATTCTTGCATAGTCAGTCAAGTACACATTTTGTGTTTTGGTTGTTCTTGGGCTTCAATTACTCAGTTTTCTTGTTTGCATTTAGTTATAATAATAAATATTCTCTACTCAAGGCAGACGGTTCAAGACATGCAAGCTGAGGTGGACCAGCAAAGAGTTGAAGATGAAGCTTGGTACCAAAAACAGGAACTGCTTCGTAAAGCTGAAGAAACAAGGAGAGAAATGCTCTTACAAGAAGAGGAGAAGATAATACAACAAAGACAGAGGTATGTTTAGCACTTTGAAAAAAAATCCGGATATCTGAATGATTTTGATTTCCTTTCATTTTTCATTATAGGAACAACACTATTTATAGCATTACCCAGCTGTAGCATTCCATTAAGCAAATACTTAAGTTAATTAAAAAATCTGTAAATACCACTTTTCCCCCAAAAATGACAGTGGTAAAATGGAATTTCTAAGCTATACTGAATATGATATAACTTGCACTGATTATTCAGAGGTAATACAAGATCCAGGGTGCCTTGGAGGATATTGTTAGAAACATTATTCTGCGGTGGGCAGAAACGCCTTGGTGTGTGATGCCGTGCTGGACCAGTCACCTTCAGTGGAGCACTATTTTTTAAACTGTATTTTAAACATATCTGTGTGACCTGAAAATTGAAACAAAATGATTGTCTCATTGTGCATGTTGTATTTTGGAGGACAGGGGAAGAAGTATTACATGCTTACTCAAAAGTGTGTTAATAAGGCAAAATGTTTGAATTAGTTAAGATAATGAGATGAGCGCTGAGACTAAGCCTAATTGTTGGGAAAATGACTTCTATAAATGTTTATTGATTCTTATTCTTGGATGGGACTTTATGAAACAGATTTCTAGTGTGGGTTAAAAAGAATTGCTGAACTGAGCTATTAGCCTTCTAAAATTCTAAGAGAATAGCATACATAATCTTCCGTAACACTGGAGCATTTTTTTGGCATTCTTTCCTCAGAGAAAGGATATCGATTGTATTGAGATGATCTGAGAAGTACACCTGTTAGAGATCTTTTGAATATGGAAAGAACAGCCAATTGCATATGGACTTGTCATTTTAATGAATGCTGACTTGTTTTGTAATTGGGCGTCTTTCATTTATCTGTTGTAAAAACAGCCATGTTATGAAGGCACCAGTTAAACTGGGAAAGTGGACCAAGATAGGCGGCAGGCCTTTCATTGTTGTGAAACGTAGTATTTTTCCATTGCAGTCTATGTTCTGAAATGTTTTTATTTGTTCCTCATGATGTATTTTGTATGTAAGACTGGCTGCTGTCAAGAGAGAGCTGAAAGTAAAGGAAATGCACCTCCAAGATGCTGCCAGAAGGCGTCTTCTGAAGCTTCAGCAAGATCAACAGGAAATGGAGCTGAGAAGACTGGATGATGAGATGGAGAGAAAGGTTTGTTATTCTTGCCTTCGTACTCATGCACGGTCCTACTGACCCTCATTTAAATGTAGCAGACACTTTCAAGTTTAATATTATTCCTAGAGTCCACGGTACATGCTAAACAGCCCCTCTAGTTTTATGTAATGTTTCCCCAGCTGTTCTTATCTGCTGTATTTCATCAACACATTGATCACCCACTGTGGATTGGGTGCCCCTGAGGAAACACAGCTGTCACCCAGATTTGGGTGATGTAGCTACCAAGTGTTAATTGTTAAGTAGTTTAGAAATGCCAGGGAAATTAGGTAAGTTGACTAGTGTCCTTGGTGACTATTTAATATAGAAATATCCATTAACCATGAAGCTAATTGTAAAAGTAGGGGAAATATTCTTCCTTTTTTTAATTTTTTATTTATATTTTTGAGGAGGGAGGTAGTCAGGTTTGTTTGTTTATTTAACAAAGGTACTGGGGATTGAACCCAGGACCTTATGCATGCTAAGCGTGCATTCCACCACTGAGCTATACCCTCCCCCAAGAAGTACTCTCTCTTAATATAAAAAAATAGCACATAGGCAGCTTAAAAAATTTCTATTACAAAATATATGGAGTTAAAAATGGACTTTGTCCACTCTTTTCTCATTTCATCCCCAGATATAAATTGTTTAAAAACTGTTATATATCTTTCTCTTTTTATGGTTGCATAGTATTCCATCATATGAATATGTCATAGTTTATTTAACTAATCCTTTGCTGTTGGACATTTATGTTGTTTGCAGAATTTTGCTACACAAAACAGTGCTAGATTGTGTATTCTCAGCACAAATCTTTGAGTATTTGTACATGTACTTTTTGTTGAGTAAATGCTAAGGTATGCCATATTATCCTCCAAAAATGAACCCACTTAAGCTGTTTGAAATGTAAAAGTACACATACCCTGGTCAATTTGGAGTGCATCAGTCTTAATATTTTCCAGTCTGATAGGTGATAGGTGAAAAATGGTTTTGTTTTTTTTTTCTTCTTGCTAGTGATGTTAACTATCTCTTCATTCATCTGTCTTCCATTGTAGAACTGTAAATTGCATATCTAAAATCATTCATCCAGTATTCTACCAAGTTACTCTTTTCTTATCAATTTACGTGGGTTCTTTTGTCATTTCGTGTCCAGTAGAAATAGGATGTGAGCCACATGGGCAATTACAAGTTTTCTGATGGGCACATTTAAAAAGTAAGAAGAAACAGGTGAAATTAATTTTAATAACATTTTCTTTAACTCGGTATATTTGAAATTATCATTTGTTTGTGCTAAATCTGAGAAGTCTGGTAGTCAGTTTATACTCCCGGCACATCTCAGTTGGGACAAGTCACAATTTAAATGCTCAGCATCCACATCGGGCTGGGGGCTGCCGCAGAGCACAGAGTTGTGCTTAATCCCTTCATCTGTCTTGAGTGTTTTCCTCTGGTCTGTGTTACTTGTCTCTAAGAATGTGTATAGTGTCTTTTTTTTTAATCACGTAAAATATTTAACTTTTGGATAACCAACTTCATTAGTTTTTTATGACTTAGGATATGTGTCATGTTTTGAAAGACCTTCCCATTATAGGTTTTATTACCACTTATGCATATTTTCTTTTAGTTCAACATTTTTATGTTGTTTCAATCTTTGATTATCTCAAGGGCAACAAACTATCGGGCACCAGCAAATCTCCCCGACCCACCTCCTGCTTTGTAATGCTCATGGGTTAGAGTAGTTTCAACATTTTCAATGGCTAAAAAAAAGAAAACTCAAAGAATAATATTTCATGATATGAAAGCTGTATTAAATTTTTTTAAACATATGAAATTCAGTTTCGACGACCATAAATACAGTCTTATTGGAACACTGTCACACTTACTCGTTTACAAATTTCTTTGGCTGCTTTTGCACTACCAACAGTGGTGGTGAACAGCTGTGACACAGAGTATGTCCCACAAAGCCTGAAACATTTACCCTCTGGCCCTTTATAGAATAAGTTTGCCAACCCCTGATGTGTCTGAAAATTGAATGTAAGGCGTGAGTTAGGGACCAAGCTTGCTTCTTTCCAAAGGCCAGTTTTCCCAGTGCCATTTGTTGAATGCTAGTAAAGTCATTTGCCAGGTGATGGTTATTAAATGTTTAGTTCCCTTAAATACTTGATCTTGTCCGTTGCTGTCTATTCCTAAGCCAGTACCACACTGTTTGAGTAACACCTTTGGAACGTCTTACTGACTAGTCTTACCCACTATTAGTCTGCCTTTTCGGTTGTCTTCAGTATTCTCAAATGTTTACCATTTTAAGTAGACTTTGAAAATTTTTTCTCTCTCTCTGAATCCCTGCCTTCTCCCATCCTATTGGAATTTTTATTAGGATTGCACTGAATTAAACTGATTCTGACCTCTGCCTCCCCTTCCCGCCTCCTGTCCTACCGTCTCCCTCTTCTCATAGTGACCTCTGACCCTGCTGAACTGCAGAAACTTCTCTATTCATGACTCAGGCACCAGCAGGAAAAGACTGCTTGGGTCCAAAGTGACACATCCAAGTGACACACACATCTGTTATCAGCCAGCAGCACTAATCTGTTTTGCTCTGGTACATAGCTCTTTGCACCTCTGAAAATTCATAAGCAAAAGAGCTTCTGTAATTGAAATTCCTAAAAAGCATTCTTTGCGATGCCAAACGTCTCCCCTGCTTCTTAGCATTATAACTATCCTTGCTTCATAAACTCAGGTATCCCCACCTCTGAGCTAGCTGCTTTCTCAATAACCTCTTTAAATTGAACTGGTTTTCAGTCTGGTTTTTTTACCCCTTGGATGCATGTCCTTGCACATCCCACAATGTTCTCATTTTTACTGTTTGTGTCTTCAGTTACATGTATTTGATAGCGAGTCTACAGTATATAATGCTTTGCCTTATGCATGCAGGTAGTGCAGTCATTAAATGTTGACTGGTTAGGTGAAATGATTACATTAGATGCCTAATGGGTTATAGTTTGTTTTGTTTTGTGCTGAAACACATATCATGTTATTCTCACTCCTAAAAAATGAGGACTATTTAGGCAGCCAAGTATTTAAGACAGTTCCTAAGATTCTCTACCTAAAGAGTGCCTTATTCAAGCCCTCTAGTGTATGGGACTGAGAAGCTTCCAAGTCATCAACTTTTGGAGAAAGGTGAACTCTAAATTAGCTAAATCCAAGCAGGGCGCATACAAGTTGGAATAGTCTACAGTAAATTTTAACTTGGAATTACTAGTTGCCAAGCCAAATTTATAAAATATTAGAAGTGTAATCGAAAAGAATGTTAAATAAATGTTACATGGAATAAGATCAAACATTTTACGTTTTTATCCACTGCAAACTTCAATTGCTCAAGTTTTTCTAACTCATAATGTGGCCAAGGTAATGTGGAAAGAACGGCCATCTGTTCTCCTAGTCTGGGTAGATGAGCGTGTGGTAATTGTGCTTTCTTTTTTAGAAACTTAAGCTTAACTTTAACTCAAACATTATTCCTAGATTCCACAGTGAATGTTAATATATTGTCAATTACTCTGGTTTCAAAAACCCAGTACCTATTATTTTAAGTGCTTTTAGTGGGTTCAGATTATGAGATTACAAAGTCTGTTAAAAATTATTTTTGTGAATTCAGTTTATTATTTGGCTGTAGGTACATATGAGAGATCGAGAAATTGCTGCCACAGCCAAAGACCTAGAAATGAGACATCTGGAACTTGAATCACAGAAGAGACTTTACGAGAAGGTATAAATCAACTATTTCCAATATAAGAAGAGCAGAGTTTGTACAAACTCTTTCTAGACTGTATTTATTCAAGGTTTTTAAGTGTTCATTGTATTTATTCTTCCAAGCAGAGTCTAGTGTCACCCAGGACTGTAAGGTAGCCAGGATGTCTGGATGCACAGTTTGTTGTGATACTCAAACTCATGTTTCTCTTAGCAACGTAGTCTCGTGTCTGAAGAGCCAGATGTTAAGTCCCAGATTTTGCCTCAGGATCTTTTACTAACTTACCAAGTTTCCTTATGTCTGTGTAATAGTGACTACAGAATTAACCCAGGACTTCAGAGGGTAAATCAGACAAGAGCTGTAAAGCACTTTAAAGTTGAATCTGCTGGAATCAAGTCAGCAAGGACCGACCTTAGTACATATAATTCAATTTCCAAGACGCTGAAGAAGGGAACTTTGTTACTATAAATATTATTATTAGGAAAAAGCATGCTATTCATTTATTTTGAAACCATAAGTTTTTACTTCCTTCAGCCCTCTTAAAGTCAGACCATAGGTTTGAAATTAGTGATAACTACAAGTGCATAACAGGTAACATGTATATGATTGATTGTTGCTCACATTAAATATGATTTAGAACAGAAAGTCCATTCATAACTACAACACTCTTTAAGTTTCTACACTGAACTTTTGCTAACTCGGAGCCCCAGAGGTTTACGCTTCCACTAAGCCTCCTATGATTTTGAATTAGAATTAATTCGTTTGGACTAAGCTTAAGTTATTTTTACTGGCTAGGAGGGGTGATGGCACCAGAAGGCATGATTTCAGAATTAAGAGAAAATTTGCAACAAACATACTAAGAATTTCCAAATATTTTTCTCTCATATTCTCAAATATTAACATTTTGCTAAATTTTCATTATCCTTCTCTTTCAATCTATAAACACACACACATATTTTTTCCCTCAGCTGTTTAAGTTGCAGATACAATGCTTTTTCACCCCTTCATTGCATATTTTATAACAGCAGGGAATCTTTATTACATAATCATACTACAATGGTCAAAATCAGGAAGTTAACACATTATTATCTGTTGTATAAACCTTACTCACATTTTATCACTTGTCCTAAAAATGTCCTTTAGAGCCAAAGGAAATCTAAGATAATCCATTTTTTCAGTTGTCATATCTCTTTATTCTCCTGTAAATTGGAACCATTCCTGAGTCTTGTCTTTATATTTCATGACATTTATATTTTTGAAGCACATAGGCCAGATATATTGTAGAATGTTCCTCGATTAGCATTTGTTGTTTCCTCAAGATAAGATTCAACTTAGGTACTTCTGGCAGGAATCAGGAATGCCAAGTGATGCTTTCTATGTATCATATCATTTTTTTTTTTTGCACACTAAATTTCTTTATTTCTAGCCCCACTGTTTTGTATGTACCTTCATGGACTGTCCAAAACAGTAATTTTAGCACTCCTGGAAATTTTAAAGAATCTAAGCAGCTCCTGAAGATGAAGTTTTCAGATTCCTCCCCAAGGACATCCTTAGGTCGTCTCTGTGCTCCCGGGTAGTTAAGTATTCCGCTAGCAGCGATCTGCTTCGAGCATCCATTTTTCACTTGCAGAGTTGGTGATACTCATTCAGTTGCTGCCAGGTTCTGCACCTTGAGATAGTCATCAAGGTCTGCACCTTCCTGCGTTGACCAGATGTCACACTGACATGTGCCGTTACAGAGAGAGAGCTTTCTCTTTCACAAGCAAGAAATCCCCACTTCTTTCAAAAATTCCCTGACATACAGTCGACGACCAATAAACTCAAATGCCCTCAACCCCACTGCCCCATCTCCTGGCGTGGGAACACAGACTGGGGGCCACCTGAGGTCCCACGGACAGTGTGGTGCAGGCCAGACCAGGCCACTGCCCTCCACACTTTCCGGGCCCAGGACCCTCGGACCCAGCGTTGCCACGGCCAGCACCTCTAGACTCTGGGCAGCCGCACACCCCTGCCCATCGCCCCAGCCGTCGGAGGCCAGGCGGCCATGCAGCCTGAGCCACCCGTCATCCCAGAACCCGCAGCTCATTTGTAAGGGAAGCGTTTATGTAAGCAAACTAATGGAGAAGACTTCATCTTCTAACAAAACTGATTTGTAAAAATCATGAACTTCATCTGGTCAGTTAAATATAAATATGCTACTGCTGCCTTTTTCAAATTGTCTTTAGTGATTAACACTATCTGCCAAACTTGCCTCTTACACTAGGTTGATGAAGTGTGTCTAATTCCAAACAAATTATGTTCCAGAAATAGTATTGTGATTACCTCTGTTGGAAGTGTGAGCCCAGCACTCCATCTAATTTGAATAAAATCTTTTTTAACAAAGAGCAAGACTAAGCACAGACAAGCAGACACTGACCTAGGATCCAGAGCCCATCTCCTTCATGTTCTAGAACCTTGTTTCATCGAGTCTATTTCTCGCACTGTCTCTCTCGTGCACGTGGTGGGCCTTCCTCTCGGCATAGTGCCAGCCTTGCCGAGATTGCTGTGAGCGCTAAATGAGTTAACACGTACATGTCTTTGTCTCGAGTTCCCAGGACTACCCTCAGGTTAAACTCAGCAAAAGTGAAAGGCACGTGGGGTGGAGTCCAGGAGCGACCAGACACGAGCATCTAGTTGTCCGCCCCCAGGGGAGTCATACAGAGAGTATGGCATTTTGCCAGCAAAGATGGGTGACAACACACACGGAGTGGCCAGCCAGGCAGGCTCACCTGAGCTTTGGTGTCCAGGTTTTACTCGGGGTCAGTCATGTAGGCATGGAGTGTGCACGTGGCTGGCCTTGGTTACTTACTGGGCAGAGGTCAGCCGGCGATAGTGTGGCCCAGGGCTCCCACCGCAAATCATGGTGCTAGCATAAACGCTCTGGCGTGGCCCAAGGCCTCAGGTATACAGACACTCCTACCAGGCAAGGTACTCCAAGGGCTTAGAACCGGTCACGGGCTAACCTTTTCTTTGGAACGTGCAGGATTACTCCTGCTGCAGGTACGGAGTCAGCTCTTTACTCACAGCGTCTGGCACCTGGCACAGGCTTCCCCCTTGGTCGAAAACGCTCGATCATTTTACAGAATGAATTGACGACTTTCCTTCCCCCGTCTGCTTTTTTGAACCACCCCCATCTTCATTCCGTCCTCACTGTTTTTGGATTTCCACTGTTTCCCTCCTAATCCTTAATTTCTGGACAGACATCATTTTATCTCTTTATGAAGTAGGTAGAATTCTGTATTCTGCTTTTCTTACCCCTTTTTTCTTCTTTTTTCTAAATGGCAACATATCTTCATAGTTGTCATCTGTAGTGGCTATTAATGAACCATAACTTACATAAACTTTTCTTCTACTGTTGGAGGTTTAAGTGAATTGTTGCCAATGGGCAATACTCTTTCACACATGTATCTTCTGTGCGTATAATTCAAAAATGTATTTATTTTTAATGAATCATAGAAGCAATTATGCTGCCAATAGATAATTAGAAAAGTAGAAAAAATTCCTCAATCTCAAATTAGTAGGAAATAGCTGCTATCATCATCAGTAAGGAAAAGTGACATTATTTGGTACATAGAATTAGTATTTTGCTTTTTTAACTGAAATCTTCATGGGAAACTCTTTGCTGTCCTCCCACGAACCGCTGTTCCCAGTAGCACTCACTCCCCATTCCCCCGCCCCTGGCAACCACTCATTTACTTTCTGTCTGTGGATTTGCTTATTCTGGACATTTCAGGTAAATGAAATTGCACAATATGTAGCCTTTTATGACTGGCTTCTTTCACATAGCATAATATTTTCAAGGCTCATCCATGTTGTAGCATGAGTCAGTATTTCATTCCTTTTTGTGGCTGAATTATATTCCATTTTAGGGACAGACCACATTTTGTTCATCCATTTTTCAGTTGGTGGACTGTTTCCACTTTGGGGCCATGATGTGTAGTGCCGCCATGAGCGTTCACACCCAGCTTTTTGTTTGGACATACTTTTTCAGTTCTCTTAGATATGTAACTAGGAGGGCTGAGTTCCAATTTCTGTACATTCTTGTGGACAACTGTTACTGTCGGTCCTTTAGATTACAGCCGTATTAGTGCAGGTGACGTGGTTCCTTACTGTGGCTTTGACTTGCATTTCCCTGATGACTAGTGATACCAGGCATCTTTCCACATGTTCATTGTCCATTTTTATATCTTCTTTGGAGATCATGTGGTTAATGTCTATCCAAAGCATGCAGGGCCATACTTTCTTGGGTTTTAATATGTGTTGTAATTTTTTGCTGAATATTAAATACTTTAAGTGATATAAGATGGCAGTTCTGGAAATCAGATTCTCTTTTCTCCCCAGGGTTTCCTGTTTCTTTGCTTAGTGACTTTTCTGAGTTAATCCTATAAAGTGTCTATTCTTTGTTATGAGTAGCCACTGACGTCTACCCTGGTAGCTCAGTGACTGGACAGAGATTTCCTTGGATCCCTGAATCTCTGAGCCTCTAGTCTTTGCCAGGGAGCTCTGTGCACATCACGCTGGGGCTCACTTTCAGCATTCAGCCCTTAGCTGCCTCGTTACAGCCCTCTTAGATTTTACTTCCTGGTTATGCAGAACCTCAGTTCCCCAGAGTTGAGAGCGTCAGGCGGTCTCAGGTCTGAGCAGTCACACAGCCGTTGGCACGTGCACATTTTTACACATGCGTGTGGCCTTCTGAAGTCCCAGAAATCTTCACTGGAGCATTTCAAAGCCCCCTTTAGACATCTAATTCCCCAGCTTTTCTTACAAAGCTCTTTGACTGGCCTGTCATTGGCTCTGTGATCCACTGCCTTGGGGGGTCAAGGTGTTCAGCAGTTTCCCCTGATTGTTTTCAGCAAACGTCCCCAGGCTGTAGGTGAGTTCTGAGTCAGGCCAAATAAAGACAGCCTTGGGAGTGGGGTCTTCCAAGTCAAATGATGACAGTTCTCTGGGAATGGGAGTTTGAAGACATTCCAACTCTATCTTGCCCCCTCCATTAGCTGCCAGGCTACTGGTTTTCCAGGCTAATTGCAGAGCTTAGGAGTGGTATAGAGTAGGAATAATTGAAATCATTTAAAATACCATAAAGTTTGTCTTTCTTACTAAGATTCAGCCATTTTTATGAGTAAATGCTCCCTATGTTGCTGCAAGCCTTCAGTTAATTTCCAGAGTACTGAAAAGTTTGTTTTGCCAGGGATCTCAGTGCTTTTATAGGTGAGACAGTTTTCAGAAGTCCTTACTCTTATTTTTGCTGATGTCACCACTGTTTTGTTTTTACTTTGAAAATTAGGTGATTATAGTTTTTATTTGGGTGCATATTGGTGTTATGAAAAAGAAAAATCATTTTTATATTCTAGCATTATATAGATGGGTGATTTTTCTTTTACAAAAAAAATTTTTTAACAGAATCTCGCTAGAAATCAAGAAGCTGTTGCAAAAGAAATGCGAGAAGATGCAGATGCCTATAGACGAAAAGTGGATCTTGAAGAAAACATGTTTCATAGACTGATAGGAACAGACCAAACTCAGAATGAGAAAACTCAGAAGGTAAAAATAGGGTAAATTTAGTGTATCTGTAGAGGGAACATTTCCATCTGCCATTCTTTTAAAAGGAGGAATTCAATATTGAACTCTGTAATATTGAGTTAATTCATTGCTTTGCTTTGTTATCACTGTTCCTAGAAACTCACATTTTTTACAGATTACTTCACTGACAGCCTTATACATGTCTTTTGTACTCTTTTGAGAATTTTAAGACTTAGAAGAAAATACAAATGAAATAATAACTTTATAAGTTATAGTATCCTACACTGTTAAGCATCAGAAGTTATCGCTGAGTAGATTAGTTGCAAAACATCAGGTCTCTGCCTGGTGTATGAAAGCCAGCATTTCCAAAGTGTGTTCTGTAGAATATCAATAACTAATATTCAGTAAGATGGGGGTGACAAGTATGGGAAATGCTATCATGAAGTTAGGTTTTTTTCATGCCAAATTTGAGGATATGGTATATTGTGAATCTTTAAGAAAATTTCTCAAACTTTATAGAATTTCTTATGGAGTATCCTTTCAGAAATGCTGGCTTAAATGAACTGAAATACAATTTAAGACCCTCAAAAAAGAACTCTGTCTATTATCCCTTTAACAAAATATTAAATGGGTTCGTGGCAGAGCCTGGCCCTGTTCCAAAATCTGGGAATAGTGTAAGATTTCCCTATTTCTGTTCTATAACAGTCCTTCGGCTGTTCCCCTCAGAATATCCCTTTGTTTCCCTATAGGCTTTTGTCCACCCTGTAAGAACAGGCTTTTCTGACTTCCCTTCAAGGACTGAAACATGGAAATTATTTAATTCTACCTGTCCCTTGGGCAAGAAGTTTTCAATCCTGGCTATACATAGAATCACCTGAATGTGCCTTCTAGAAGTACCAATATCCAGCCACTCCCAGGATTGATTTAGTTGGTTTGTGGTGGAGCCTGAATATCGTTTTGTTTTAAACACTGAGCTGATTCTAATATGCAGCCAGGATTATGAACATCTGTCCTGGACATCTGGATACACTGAGTGGACAGACCATATTTTACATAGTCTGATCTTGTTTCTGAAATTACAATTTTTTCTTAGTTAATTGAAGAAAATTTGGCAAAAGCTGAGCAAGCGTGTCTAAATACTGACTGGCGAATTCAAGCTTTACATAAACAAAGATGCAATGACCTACACCGAAATGAATGTTACCAGGAAATGGCCAAACTCCTTTGGAAAAACAGAAGGAAAGAAATAGAAGTATTAGATGCAATGATGGAGGCGGAAGCTAAAAAGGTAAGAGTATAAGGTTATAATGTAAGAATATAAGAATAAAAGGTTATAAACCTCTTGTTATTAATCATTTAAATCTTGAAATAGTACATAATCAGATGGCAAAAGCATCAAACCAAATAGTTTTTGTTTGTGAAAAGATCTTAAAGATTATCTAACTTTAACAGGTATTGCTCAGAGAAGTCGTCCAATGTGGATGCCCCCTAAAAATGACCAAGTGTCTTTCTCATTTACGTTAGTGTCTCAACTTCCCAGCTCCCTGGATTTGTTCTGGCTGATTATATAATATTACTACTTTAATTTACTTAATTCTTTATACTTACAACATGAAAGATTTTGAACAGTTAGGAATTACATGTAGCTACTGATAACAAAAACCAAAATAACGGTGACTATAAGCAGGATAGAAAAGTGTTTTTCTTTTTCACATGACGGAAGTCTGAAGGCAGGCAGTCCAGGGTTGATATCCTGGCTCCAAGGTCATCAGTAAACTCCTCCCTCAACCTGTCTGCACCACTCCTGGTATATGTCTTTCATTCTCAAGGATACCTTTCCATCCAAGATGACCGGAGTTCCAGCCATCTCAGTTAATTCCATTCAGCAGGAGGAAGGGGGACGGACGTGCAGAAGGCTCCACCTCCCAGCTGACACATTTTCTTTTGAACCCCTCTCCCGAAGTCCCCCCATCACATTTCTAGCCACATTTGGCTGCAAAAGGTGTTGGGAAAGGTGATATTTTTAGCAGGGAGCATTACCATCCCAAATAAAATTCTAGTTCTATTCCTAATGAAACAGCAGAGCAGGCAACTGAAGGGTGTTTGCCACATCTCTTGGTGGCCCCTCCAGTTGCAGGCACGGTGGACATCCCTCAGCGCCCTGCCGAGCTGGGAGAGATTAGGCGCTACGTAACTGGCTTTCATTCACTCCTCTTTCTGCTGCTCTATCATCATGCATTTTCTGAAAGCTTCTCATAATATTTTTCCTGCAAGTCACTTTTCCAGATTCATGTCCCTCCTACCCAACTTGTAACCCTTTCATTCAAGGACAGGGAGGGGTGGGAGTGATGCCCAGATCACTGAGGCTGCTCTCCTCAGGGAAACGATGGTGGAAGCCCACATCTCCGAGGTAAGGGTTGCCAGCACTAGAGCGACCCTGTCACTAGGTGCTGCCCTCCCTTGGGTGAAGTGGTGTATTTGAGAGTAGACCAAGAATCACTGTGAGGCTGTTCACGTCACACAGAAAGCCCTCTTTGTGTCCAGTGTCCTGGTTTCTAAATCTTGCTTGACTGCTGTGTGGCCTTGGAAGGTCAGTCACCTCATCAAATAACATGAAAGGAATAGCTTTCCTTTGTGGTCCCTCCTGGTCCTAATGGTTCTTTAAAGTTTTTGTTACTTAATACACATTTAATGCATTAGCATTTCTGTAACATAAAAATTATACGTGTGTGTTTGCATATAAAAGCTGTAGCATCTCTAGAACAATGGCAAACTTTAGAAGCTATCTAGTAATTTAAATCTATTATTTAATTACCCTTTAAGCCAGTTTTTAAATTACTGTTTTCTCTCTTTAGGAAGAAGTAGGGGCTAATAGACATTACTTGTTTTCCCTGTAGTCATCCTTCGTACCAGAACTAGGCAAAGAGTTTATTCTCTGAATTTTGTAGACTCTATTATAAAAGCATAGCTTTCAAGTTAAATCAAACAATTGCCATGAATGTAAATAACTCAATCCTGTATGATTTGAGATCAGAAATGTATTGAAATGAATTGTTATTTCAGTGGCTATTGGGACCTGTATGGGTGCACGTGGCACTCAGGGGCACTGAGCGGCACCTCAGAAGGGCCTCTGCTCTCAAGGTTCTTCAACAGCCTTGAGCCAAGACAGGCACCCAAATTAGCTGAATACCACATACATCCTCCATGCCCTGGGAAGATAAGGGAAGTGGAGTAGAAGAAGCAGAGGGGGCTTATTCTGCTCTAGAAGCCTGCATTACCACAGTTCTTATGTGATTTTTTTTTCATTTATTTGTACTTAGTGGGAGGAAGCTGAAGAAAAAGACTTTCATTTGAAATCAGAAAAGAAAGCTGCTGCTCTTTCAGATGCATCCAGAAAGTGGTTTCTAGAGAAGGAGATAAATGATGCTGCAGAACACGCCCAACACCTGTGTGGCAGAGGTGAGCGTCGTGAATGCTGCCCCTGCTCTCTCCCTTCCTGCTCTTCCACACTCGTTCACTTCGTGTGGTCTCGGGTCATGGGTACATCCTTGAGATGTATTTCGGTACTGACAGTACCGAATTTCGAATTACTGCTCAGCTAAAAGGTGATCATTAGTTACCATTTTTTTGGTCAGGAAGAATGGGCTGAGGAGATGGGGCCTGTTTTAGGAACAACAACAAAAAAAAAGCTCCAATCAAAAAAAATTTCTCAGCCATCTGATAGAATTCTGTTTTCTTCCACGGTTCCATGGTCCTTGGCATCCCCTTAATACACTAGATATGATTTGTTCCCAACCTGCTATTTCTAGTTAATTTTAGTAAAAATGTGTGCTTTGCCAATAGCTGGTCCTCAGAGCAACAGTATATTAAAGTAGCACAAGGGAAAATATTATAGGATCTAATCAAACATTAGGTTTTGCTGCAAGGCTTACAGTGGCGTCAAATGAATAATCAAAATTGTAATCTAAAATTTTAAAATAGAGTACAGATATGGAGAACTTTTACTATACTATATTGTTTCAGTCTTTTATAGAATGTGTATGTATTGTTTTTTAAAGTAACATCCCTACTGCTATGTAATTCACACGCCATACCATTCACCCATTAGAAGCATACAGTTCATCCCAGAAGTAGTTATTGGTCATCTCTGCGCACTGGTTCCTGGGCTTCCTAGAGCCAAGGCGCGAGGCTCGGACGGGGAGGTAGAGCTGGAAGGGACTCTAAGTGCCCTGCATCTGGGACAAGAACTGCGGCACCCGCAGGGATGGCCCCAGGCCATCGTGCTGCTCCTGCCACGCGCTGCGGACCACCAGGGCACCGCCATCACCCACGCTCTGCCCTCTGGAACTGAAGGGAGTTATCACAGGAATCAGATGATGAAGAACTGCAGCTAGAAGAGTTTCCCGTGCTAGAAGCACGTGATCCCAAAGACAGGAAGAACCAAGATCATTATGCAGTACTTGGACTCGGCCATGGAAGATACAAAGCTACACAGAGACAGAGTAAAGCAGGCCATAAAGCAATGGTTTTCAACATCACCCAGACAGACGGAAAGCAGCTGGTGAACCAATAAAAGGAGGAGATAATGACTACTCCACTCATATAACCAAAGCTTATGAAGTGTTACCTGATCCAGTGAAAAGACAAGCACTTAACAGCGAAGCTCCTACTTTTGAAAACTCAGTTCCTTTAAAAGTGAAGCAAAGGACAATTTCTTCGAAGTGTTTTCCAGTGTTTGAAAGGAATTCCAGGTGGTCAAATAAAAAAAGTTCTGCAAGCTTGGTGATATGAATTCATCATTTGAAGATGTAGATGCATTTTATTCTTTCTGGTATAATTTTGACTGTTAGAATTTTCTTAGATGAAGAAAAAGAAAAAGCAGAATGTCGTGACGAAAGGAGGTAGATTGAAAAGCAAAACAGGGCAACGAGGGCACAAAAGAAAAGAAGGAATGAACAGGATAAAGACATTAGTTGACAATGCATATAGCTGTGATCCTAGGATAAAGTTTAAGGAAGAAAAAAAAGCTAAGAAAGAAGCAGAAAAGAAAGCAAAGGCAGAGGCAAAACAGAAGGAAGAAGAAGCTAAAGAAAAACAAAGACAAAGCTGAATTAGAAGCTGCTCGGTTAGCAAAAAAGAAGAGGAGGAAGTGAGACAACAAGCTTTGCTGGCAAAGAAGGAAAAAGATAGCCAGAAAAAAGCCATTAAGAAGGAAAGGCAAAAATTTCAACACTCACGCAAGACCTACGATCACTTTTCTGACCATGAGGCAGAGGCCATCATTCAACAGTCCACAAACGATGTGCTGGAGAGGGTGTGGGGAAAAGGGAGCCCCCCCACACGGTTGGTAGGAATGCAGTTTGGTGCAGCTGTTATAGAAGACAGTATGGAGATTCCTCAAAAGTCTGAAAATAGACTTACCATATGATCCAGCAATCCCACTCATGGGTATATATCCAAGGGACCTCAAATTCAAAAAGATACATGCACCCCAGTGTTCACAGCAGCAGTGTGTACTGTGGCCCAGACATGGAAACAACCTAAACGTCCATCAACAGATGACTGGATAAAAAGCTATAATATATTTATACAATGGAATACTACTCAGCCATAAAAAAGAATAAAATAATGCCATTTGCAGCAACATGGATGGACCTGAGGATTGTCATTCTAAGTGAAGTAAGCTAGAAAGAGAAAGAAAAATACCGTGTGATATCACTCATATGTGGAATCTTAAAAAAAGGAAAAAGACACTAATGAACTCATCTATAGAACAGAAACAGACTCAGACAGAAAACAAGCTTATGGTTACCAGAGGGAAAGGGATGGGTAGAGGGATAAATCAGGGGTTTGAGATTTGCAGAAACAAATTACTATATATAAAATATAAAGAGCAGGGTACTACTGTACAGCACAGGGAACTATATTCAGTACCTTGTAATAACCTATAATAAAAAAGAATAAGAAAAGAAATTTATGTATGTATAATTGAATCACTATGCTGTACACCAGAAACTAACACAACATTGTAAATCGACCAAACTTAAATTTTTTTTTAAAGTAAAAAAATAAAATCTGCTTACAGAAGACACTAACCACTGGAGCTGCCACTTGTCCCTAACCCTGTACACTTACCCTACATTAGAAAGAAAAAATGAGGCTTTTGGAGAACCTGTAGATTTAGAAGTAGAAAAAGGGAAGAAACTGCAAAAAGCCTCCCACATCAGTCCTCTTACGTGCTGGCCCCTCCACCTCCAAGTCTTCCTGCCAACATTTTTTCAACATTCCTAAATTTCACCAGTGAGAGATAATTTGGTTAATAATCATCCATTTTTCAAAGGCAGATGTGTTAAGGATTTGATCATTGCCTTAATCAGGGTGTATAAATTATCAGTGTCATTTAATCCTGAAACTGGGGGATGATCAGCTATAATTAGGGGAACAGCATTTTGACTGGAGGTACTCAGCACTGGTTTGTCTTAAAGGGAGGCCCCAGGAAGCAGGAAACATGAATGAGAGTGCACCAGCGACAGAGCGCTTACTTCAGTTTTTGCCTAGTTTCAAATCTTTACTAGCAATGGGGAGGAAATTCTTGTTTTCCAGAAAACAGAATCTTCTGGACAATGTGAATGGCCCCTACTGCCCCTAAAATCCCAGGCCCATAAACTTTAATTGAAACAAAATAGCTATGTCTTATAAAATAATATTGGTCCAGATTTTTAATGGGCAAGGGATTTGAATAGACAGTTCTCCAAAGAAGATATGTAAGTGGCTAATACACATACAAAAAGATGTTCAACCTAATTATTTATTAAGGGAAATACAAACCAAACTACATGGGAAAAAATTAAAATTAAAGAATATATACAAGGAGATACAACTTTACATTCAGTAGCATGTATAATCCACTAACACGTGCAGGCGAGGATCAGAGGACCCAGAACGCTGCTGAGGGGAATGTAACATGGTGCAGCCACTTTGGGAAACAGCCTGGCAGTCCCTCAAAAGGCTAGATGTGGAGTGACTGTATGAGCCAGCAGCTCCGCTCCTAGGCATATAGCCAAGAGAATCGAAAGCATATCCCTGCAAACACTTGTACACTCACTGTTCACAGCATCATTATTCATAACAGCCAAAAAGGAGAAACTGCCCAGGTATCCATCAAGTGAGGAATGGATAAACAAAATGTAGTGTATCCATGCGGTGGAATCTTACTTAGCGATGAAAAGGAATTAACTACTGATTCATGCTACAAAATGGCTGAAGCTTGAAAACCATATGCTAAGGTAAAGAAGCCAGACAAAAAGGCCATGTATTGTATGACTCTATTCATGAAATGCCCACATAGGCAAACCTACAGAAGCAGAAGGAGGCTAGTGGTTTGGGGAGAGGGTGGGGGGTGGTTACTAGTGGGTATGGGTTTTTTTGGGGGGATGATAAAATGTTCTAGAGGTGATGGTTACACAGCACTCAGTATACTAAAATCACAGAATTGTACCCTTTAAAAGGGTGAATTTTATGGTGTGTGAATTATCTCAATGGTATATTTTTCTTTTTTTTTAATAATTTTTTTAATGACAGTAGTGAATGCGGGTTGCCAGGTAGGGCCATTGGACCAGGTTTTAAAATTACCGAGCCATGAAGAAAGACATTGCAGAGGGAGGATTGCACGGGGGGCGCAGGACCCCAGCATGTGTGATGGGAGCGCAGCCCTCGTCCCAGCTTCACAGTAAACGAGCAGAGACTGAACAAACTTAGCTGGAGCCGCTCAGCCCTGCACGCCTGCTTAGTTTGACTACCTGCTTGCATTCATTCGTTTGCATTCAGAAGTGCTCACTGGTCTTCAGTTTCCTCAGTTGTAAAAGGAGATTACAGACTAGGTGATCCTTAATTTTGTAACCGTTCTAACATTATATTATACCATTTTCTAACCACTTACGGTTTGTGAGCCTCTCTGAGAATCTCCCCCAGAAATAGGCGTGTACACGTACACACACACAGACCGTTCTCCCTTACTGCTTTTGTGGATTCACCAACTAAAAGCCTCCATAAATTCCACTTGTACGTGATAGAACTTGTTAGTAATTAATCAGTGGCAGAGGATTACCTGTCCTGGTGATACAGGTTAGGCCAACTGGGGCAGAGAGATTGTGCACAGATGCTTAAAGGTATCACTGACGAAGGCGGGTGAGGGGACCTTCAGTGCCAGGCGGGCAGCTGGGCTTCATCCTATTTGCCAGGCTGGCCGCACAGCAGAGTGACCTGTAGAAAACACAAGAGCAGGACTTGGGTCAGGAGCATGGCTAGGGAAAGAAGGAGATTTAGTTTGTAAAGTAGTACACCTACCAAATTCAGCAAAGAAATATTAATTTTAAAACAACTTAGAGAGATTAGTAAAATTTGGTCTCATATGCTGATTAGAAAAAAGTTTTAAAATAAAAAAAAGAAATACTAATTTTAAATAAGAAGAATCACCTTTGGGGCTTTAAAATTTATACATTAAATTTTTTTAAAAAGCAAGTTGCAGCATAAAAAGTATAGAAAAAAGAACTTTTCACTTTTTACTTCATTATTTATATGTTCAGACTTGTTACAATTTAGCCAGTGACTGGCTGCTATTTGTTTGGGGTTTTTTTTTTTTTTCCTTACAGATTGTTTTTTAAAATACACACATTCAGGACCAAGGCTTATTTAGCTGTGTAGATCTAGGATAGAAGCTAGAAAGCTAGATTTTTGTTTTAAAGCTTTACAGGTGAATTTGCTCAGCAGTGTTTGAAACATTGCTGTAAGCAAAGTGGGGAACCATCAGTTGCTTGAACAAAGGTAATGTTTACAACACGGCCCTTTGGGAGGATGAATATAAAGCCGTGGGCAGGATGGATTTAGGAGACAACAGATGAGAGACAAGAACTGTGAGACTGCAGGGTTGGAAGGACCTGACCATGGGGTCAGCCCTGCACACTCTGACAGGGGTTCTCCAGCCTGTTTCGGGACACTGAGCTGACAAGCTCACTCCCTTCTTCCACCTTCTGCCAGTATTTTTATTTATAAGTTGTTCCTTCCTTACACTTTTCTTTTCTCTTTGTAAATCCTCATTAAAAACTGTTCTCCGGAGCAATGCAGATGACATTTACTCCCTCTGCCACAGGGTAGCCCTTCAGATATTTGCAGATGATTCTTAAATTCCATTCCCCCACGCCAGTTCAAATTAATCATTTGGTGATTAATTAAATTGTCTTAGTGACTCACTGAGCTAAAACTATGAGTGAAAACCGTCAGCTGATGCTCTTGAGCCCAGGTGAGAGGCAGGCGTGGTCTCCACGAGTCAGTGTGACCCAGGCAGCCTGGGCCAACGCACCAAGGCTTGGACCCTCGTGATGGAGTAGAAAGGAAGGGACAGTTAGGTGTGACGTCAGGATGGAAAATCAAAAGACGTTGGTGTCTTATTGGATATAAAGCTGTAGGACTTAGGAAACAGTAAAAACACAGCTGAAGGGTGAGGAGAGGAAAGTGATGATTAAAAAAAATAGGAGGAGGCACCAGCGAGGTGTGGAACCACCGCTGTGCTTTCAACCCTGAGAGCTTCAGGTATGACTTGTCCACCGCTGCTCCTGGTGAGCCGTGTGTTGTGATTGGCTCACCGAAGTTCTCAAGGAGGGAACTAATTCACATTTCATTGTTCCTCCCAGCAAATATTTGGGATCTCTGTCCTGACATACGTATTTTTCAGTTGTTTGTTGGTTGCTATTTTGTTTTAGCTAAAGGTATTTTTTGTTTTAAGTGCTTTACCAGAATTTCAGCTAGGCTCTTAATTCTCACTGACTGCACTTTCCATGACTTGAATGGTGACAGCATTCTTCCCAGAATAGAAAAGTAAGGGGCTTCTTATCCTTGGCAATGTTAATTTACAAGGGACCATGTGGAATTAAGAGCGGCTTTCTATCCACTCCCAAACATCCTCTTATTTTTTTCACTTTTGTAACAGTAATGCCCAAGGGCCAGAATGAACAGGTCGCCTTAAGCTGTTTGCCTAGAACCTCACAATCAAATGACATTTCTTCAGTGGAGTCCCTGACACAGAGTAAGTTGATGAACAAGAAAGATTTCTTCTTTCATGTTAGATTTAGCAGTATGCAAGCAAGACTGTGACTGAAATTATGTGTACAGCACATTGAGACCATTTTCCCAGGGCACTGATAATGGAAATCCAAAGTGGAGGCTGCAAGATCCTCAGGTTTCCAGCAGGGGAAAAACTGGGTCAAACGGAAACCCAAGTAAGGAACGTCTGCCAGGTCTCGTCAGTGCAACTCTATTTCTTCAGCTCCAGCACCACTGCTCAAAAACATAGTTGGAGGCTCCACCAGAAGTCCGGCACTGACTAAAACTCGTGATATTCATAACGAGTCTCTACATCCTTGTGAGAAGAAAGTCTCAGCTTTAGTTTTCAGCACTGTGACATATTAGAATTTTCTTGACCCCTCCTCTGGGCCGGGCTCCGTCCGGCAACCACTGGAAGCGTGTGTGCTCTGGGCACGGAGGTGGGACCACTGCCAGGGGCCCTCTCACAACCACGGAGGGCACAGGGGCTCCGTGCCGATTAGGTGACTTTTGATCCCTTGACTTGATTCACTGGAGGTTTTTTTTTTGGGAAGGGATGAGATGGAAACATCTTACCGAAATGCCATCACAGCATCAGCCCATAAAGGAGCTAACAGTTTCCCCAGTTACTAGTTTTTAAAAGGAGGGGAGAGGACAGGAAACTCTGTCAGGCTTTCTTTCAACTGACTCTTTCAGTAAAACCGTCACATAAATGAAACAGAATTTAACAAGGTCTTTTGAGTTTTTTTAGAAGAACAGATTTTGATATAATGTCCCCTAAAGACCAACTTGGTAAGAATTAGACCTAATAACAAGTCACAAGATTCCGGTGTGGGTCAAGTATCCTCGCCAACTCACACACGTGCGCATTTCCTAAAGTCTGAGTCAGGATGTGAATTCAACCAGAAGTCACGTGAGTCGAATGAAAGTACAGGAGATTCTCAACTGTTCTCTGTTCCGACAAGTCAGAACTTTCTAACTAGATAATATTCTAAATTTGAAAATCAAGTTAAGGACATTTGGCAAGTTTGTTATCTGGCAGCAAAGCAAGAAAGCATAAAAATTTTGTTCATTGGGGGAAAAATAGTTCTCAGAAATGGAAGCTGCTTGAATATGTGACTAAGTTTCAGAGAAGTGTATTTTTAAGATGCTTCTTTTTTGAGTCCCAGTGTTCAGTAGCCCCTCAGAATCAATGAGACATGGCTGTTATACTTGGATATATTGTAATGTTTTAATCTTGACCCTGGACTCCCTCTGTAGGCCACTAAAAAGCATTTTGTTTGTTAATTTTTATTTAATCATTAGGAAGTAGTTATGGGGTACATTTCACTACATTAATTTTGGCAACTTGGAATTTTCTCATTATAATAAGCATCATAGTGAAGAAACTATTTTAAAGAACTCAAATTCTCTCTTATACAGGCTTTCTTCCTAATTTAAAATTCACCTGTATCCCCAAATCAAAAACATGCTAAATAACCAAAAAGCAGGTAAGTTCTCTGATAGCATTCATTCATTTCAACAAATAAATATTTGGCTTGTAAATAGAACCACATGGGGCCAGGTAATATATTAGACTTTTTGCTTAAGAAATTTGGTTTTTAAAATATTCATTTCATTATTGATTTTTGAAACATACTTGCCTTTAAAATAAGTGCTGTACCACTGCTAAAATTAACTGTTGTTAATTTAAAATTTTGTTTTCAAGTTTCATTAAACCAAAGAAGAACACATTGGGACACCATGGAACGGGATCTAATGGAGAAAGTGAGAAATCTTCGCCAGAGACTCACCGCCCAGGCTCGTAACAGATGCCAGACGCCTCCTGTTTTGGCCACATAGGAGGCTGGTCACCTTGAGATAGTCAGAGAGCGAGATACCTATTTTGCAATCAGTGACACTGATTTTCAGATTACTTATTTTTAAATTCTTATAAAGATTAACCTTTTGTATGAAAAATGTGTGTATAAAAATGATGTGTTCTATTTAATTCTGTGCTTTGGGGCTTGTAAATGGCTTATTGTACTTTTCACAATAAAAATAAAAATTGAAGCTTTTTAAAGCTTTGCATTAGGCCCTTTCAGGTTGCAAGGACCAGCACTATCTTCAGGAACTTCAGTTGATGAGGTTTTATTTTAAAGCATCTCAGCCAAGTACCATCAGGACTGAGGGAGAAGTCAGCGGCAGCTCCAGAGGCCACCTGCGCACCCCGCTGACCCCCGCCCCCGCAGCAGGACGCCCCTTTGCCCGCGACCAGACCCCTCCACACTCGCCACACCCGGGCCACTGCCTCTGCTCCTCCACTTCCTGCCCTCTGCCTGCTTCTCCTGACAGCACCGGCCCTTAGCTCCACAGCAGAGCAGCTCCCGGCTGCATCCTCTTGGGCAGATTACTCCCCCTGAACCCATTTCTAAAAGAAGAGCAGAAGTAGCACACGCACTGGACGTGAAGACTAAACACGGTAATGTATATAAAGTTCCTGGTACGGTGCTTATCATGTAGCTGGTGCACAGTGCAGAAAAGGTTTGTTTTGTTTTTCCTGGAGTCACAAAGCATAACCTTATGGTAAATCCGGTGCTTTCAGTCAGCAGAGTGCTCGCTTTTGTCCAAATTCCCAAAATACGACCGTTACTTCACCCGGCATCAGTTTCTCAAGGGCACTTTCATCAGCCTCATTTTCCTTCTGTCCGTTTTCAGGTGGTTACAAATACCTTCATGGACCAGGCTGGTGGGTGTTTGGCCACAGAAAGTCACAGGATATAAAATACTCGGGGTGTGATGGGAACTTTGGTGAGATAGAAATTGCTCACCTGAAAGCATCCGAGTTCTAAAATACGGTGATTCTGCCAGCCAGAGTCAGCTGTATGTTGCCAGCTTTTGGCCTCTACTTCACGTCCTCCTTGACTAGAATTTACACCTATTCAGGTTGGTTTTGCAAACTAAACACACACACACTTTTATAGCATTACAGTATTTCACTTTTTTGAAGTTTCTATTCATACAGTGAAAGTGAATTATGCACACTTTCAACCAAATGAAGTTCTTTTTTACCACATTCTCCCTCCCAGTTTTCTCCAAGACCATGGTGCTCCCGATGATGATCTTGACAAAGTCACTGCCTTAGCAGATTCCAGGTACTTGGCTGGATCTCTTCAGTCACGTGGGCCTGGCTGGCATTTCAAGGGTTAGGAGGACATGTAATGAAATATATGGAATACATGTGTGATTAGCTCTTCCTGCTTCTTGGTAGTATAGCCTCAACCTGACCCCGATTTCTTGGTCATGTAAATGTAAGTTCTCTGGGAACTGAGTGAAGATTGAGCTTGGCTAAAATTCTTCCCACACTGGCTACAGTCACAAAGCTTTTCTCCAGGACTCCCTGAAGAGCAGTTCCTAAAGGGCTTTTCATAAGGTTTCTTTCTGGAGTGAATTATACAGCATTGGATAAATTTGGGGCTTTGGCTAAATCCTCTCCACATCGACTCCCACTTAAAAGAGTCTTCAGTATGAATTCAATGGTGCTGAGTAAGTTACTAACTCAGGTAAAGGCCTTTTCACATTTATACACTCATGTGGTTTCTCTCTGGTACAAATTCTCTAATGTTGAGCGAAATTTGATCATTTGCTAAAGGCTTTTCCACAGTGACTGCACGCTGGCCATTATTAAACTATGACAGGGGAGTAACTAAAAAGAGAATGCTAAAGGGTGCCTAGGAGGACTGAGAGTACCCAAGGGAGGACAAACTCAGAAGGAGGTCCCTCCCTCCCCACGGCTCAGGCTCAGACAGCACTGGAGGTGTGGCTGCGGACCACTGGACAGTACAGGGGTTCCTGGGCTGCCCAGGCAGCAGGAAGTGTCTGGGGTGCAGCTAGTCCAGGGCTGCTGACTGCAAGGCCATAGGAAGTCAGGACCCCAAGTGTGTCAGGGTGGTGTGTACGCTGGCCATGCTGGGAGGGGGAAGTTCTCGGGGAACCACCCTCTGGGGCACAGGCAAACCAAGGCCGGAAGACAGGTGCTCAGAGCACATCAGGGCGCTGCGGCTGGCACCAGACCTGGAACACCTGGAACCTGGTGTTGGGAGGATGGCAGCAAAGTGGTCACCAGGCTGGGCTGTGACATCACTAAGAGACTGTGCACTCTGGGCAAACAGCTGGGACAGAACACTGGGTGTCCCCACACACTAACCACTGATGGACCATGAAGCAGGAACAAGAATAAAGAAAACACATCTGAGCTAGAAAGAGAAGCCCCATCCCTCCTGCAATCTCTCCCAGCGCCCTCTACTGACAGCCTCGCACCGTGCATGCGGTGAGGAGAAAGCACTTGAAGAGTCCCGGCCATTCTTGCAGAGCGGGCCCTGAAGAGAGAATTTGGAGCTCAGGGCCGTAAATTGATCACGGGCACTCTCATGCAACAGGAAGTTTACTTTGTTGGCTGACAGAAATGTAGAGTCAGTACTGGCCTCTTTTTAATCACACTGAGATGCCAGAATTTCCCTGGCATGATATAGACGAAGGTAACCGAAGGCTCAGGAAAGCAGGACTGTGGGAGTGGATTCATTACGTACGGACTTCTCACTCTCCTCCCAGCTACATGCTCAGCCCCAAAGATCCTCCCTTCTTAAGGCATTAAGTGCACACTTGAAAAACTCTGTGGTGAGAGATGACCATTGATGTCCTTCCTGATTTCAGTGGGACGGTGGGATTTCACATAGCAGAGGCCAAGTGGTAGCGGTTTAACTACCAAAGACAGCCATTTACAGCTGCAGGCAGCAGAGAAGTATTATTAAGGGTTATTTGGCTATCGGTAATTGATTATGTTATCCTTAACAATGAAATAGATAGGCAGCCTACTAAAATATTGCTTGACGTATGTAACAGGAAATCTTAAGATCTGTGGGCCCAAAACATGACTTGAGTTACTGTTACTGAACCAAACTTGGGTCCACTCACCTGTGCACAGTGAAGCCGATCTACTGCCCCCGGGTTGTGGTGAAGGGAAGTGCAGCGTTTACTGCAGGACACCAAGCAAGCAGTCCAGGCAGCTAGTGCTCTAAAGGTCTGAACTTCCCAATGGCTTTCAGGGAAAGGGTTTTTAAAGACAGCATGGGAGAGAGGGTTGCAGGACCACGCTCAGCTCATGGACTTTCTTCCGATTGGTTGATGATGATGTAATCAGGAGTCAGCATGATCAACCTTCTAGTTCCTACGCATCTGAGGTCTACGTGCTTGTGGGCAGCATACACTTAACTTCTTCCACCTGGTAGGGGTTTCAGTATCTGAAAACAGCTCAAAGGACATGGTTCAGAATAGTTTCTAGAGCCCTTGAGGAGGAGCTAAAGGTCCTTGACTTTGTTTAATGGCTAAACTATTATTATTTGTCTTGCTTGACTGTTTTCCTTTGCTTCTGCATTTTCTCACTTCTCTGATTAAACATCCTCTGGAACTCAGGGAAGGCCTAGGAGGCTAACATTTTTCGATAAACAAGAGGCAGGTGGAGGACATGGGGGGGAGGTGTCTGTCCCAGGAAGGCCCGGCGGTAGGGTCCTGCTCAGTTACATCACCACAATGGAGAGCCATGCCTGCCACCCATTTTCCAGACCTAAACTCATTCCCAGAGTCAAAGCCTCTTGATTGAAGGGAAGACCAGTTCCCCTTGGTGAAGTATCCTGCAGCTGTGAGTGCCACATATAAATGCTATAAATAATCCCCCAAGCCTTTCCAAAGGGACCTGTTGGTACTTACTTGAAAGACTGGGGAGTAGGGGAAAAAAACACCCAGCCCTTTCAGTGGTTACTAGACATGTAATAGAACAAATCTGACTCCATATTAGATCAGTTCCTTTGGCTTTAACCCTGTGCTCTGTTTCCTAGGCTTAGTCTTGCTGGTTCTGCACCTTCTGTAAAAGAATGTTGCCTATAGCCTGAAATATACAGGAGAGCCTATTCTCAAGGCTCTCACCTTTAAGGAGATTAACACTTTTCCATTCATATAAAGATAAGCTGCAGAATAGAAAACACCCATTTGTTTTGTTGGAGGTTTACAGGAACATGGTGATCTGACCCATGTGGACAGCTACTACAACAAAGGATCCCAACAACAAAGAACTCCTGCGCCAAGAAGTTTGCAACAACCAAGCACACCCGTCCCCTTTTCAGTATAACAGGAGCCTGAATTCTGACTCGGGTAAGATGGTTCTCCAGGACATTAGTCTGTCAGGCTTTCCGAATAAAATCATTATTCCTTGCCCCAACATCTTCTCTCTCGATTTATTGGCCTGTCATGCGGTGAGCAGAACCAGTTTGGACTTGGAAATAGACACTGGCTGTAAAATGACAGTAATTACTGTGGCTACCAAAGCCAGGGCTAACGAAGGTCAAGTGATAAAGGAGCCTGAGCCAGTCTGAATTACAGCGGTAGCAGTTATGCCATGAAACCAACTGTGCTGATTTTCTGAGTACCTGAATGAATAATTGGAATAAACAAATTTGACAAAGGCAGAATATCTACACTGACACGATGACCCACTGAGTAGGTGTCCTTATGTAGAAAGAGCCAAGTGAAAGCCTCAGAAACTCCCGCCTACCAGTATAGTAACCCAGAAGTATTATCACAGCACCAACGGGAGAACTGCAGAGGTTAGCGCGCCATCAAAAACTTGAAAAGTGAAGAGGTGGTTATAGCTATCACGTGTCAATTCAATTTGCTACTTGACATGTGCAGAATGACTGAATTACCAGAATTTTAATCGACGATGACTGGAACTGCAGCAACTGTTTCAGATGGAGCGTCACAAAGCCTCTGTCACGTAAAGCCCCGGCTGCCTCCATGACCTTCCTGATCGTGTCCAGCCAACTTCCAAGCTCTGCAGCCCAAACTCGTCGCCACGGGGCTCAGAGCCCTGCACTGTCTGGCCTCTCACCACAGCGCCGCCCAGAGCCAGCCTACCCTGGGGTGGGGTGTCAATAATTGGGACTCTCCAGGGGGGGCCTTGAGTCCCAGTCACTCCTCTGAGGCCTCCATTAGAGAGAGGGCTTTGCACCCAGCGGCGCTCCCAGCGCC